GTCGCGCTGCGCCTCCTCGAAGCGCCGCGTCTTCTCGAGCAGACAGCAGGCGCATCTTTTCCATGCGCGCAGAGTCCTCGGTCTCGGTGAGTTTGGTGCGCGGGTTGGCGCCCGAGTTGAGGCGCGCGTGCGAGACCGCCGAGGCGGTATTGTTGCTGCCGGTTGTTGTTGTTGTTGTTGTTGTTGGTGGAGGTTGTGGGGTGCTGGTGGAGCTGGTGGTGTTGTTGGTCGCGGTTGGAGTTGGGGTGCTGGCGTCGGTTGAGGCCGGGGTGGCGGGGCTTTCTTGGGTGGAAGGAGTATCGCTGGTTGTGGCGCTCGGTGGTGGTTTGGGCGATCTGGCCTTCTTGTGATTTTTGTTGTTATTGTTGTGTTTCTGGGTGGAATGGGGAGGACTGTTGTCGGGCCGGGGAGCGTGGCGGGATTGTGCTAGCGACGACTTTGCGGGTTGAGGCGGCCGAGCGGGTGCTGGTTTGACTACCGCAGGCGCCGGTGCTTGTTCGGGCTGCGCCGGAGCATCGCGAGTAGAGACCGGAGCAGGTTCCGGCACACTGATTGTCTCTTCTTGTTCCTCGACCGGCTCGATGTCGTCAGAAAACAAGTCGTCGTCGGTGCGGCCGCCAAACTGGTCTTGGTCCATGTTTGCGAATTGGAGAAAGTATGACAGGTTGTTCGATGAATGGAGGTATCAAGAATAGAATATATCAGCAAGTTGATGAGTTGAGAAGCAAATATATGAAGTAAAGGATGATGCGAGCGGTTCGGTTGAGGAGCCTGAAGGTGGGGAGAAATGACAATCATATGCGATCGCGTTCCATGTTGCTGGCGGGGCAGTTCAGAGGGGGGCAAAGGCTTGGCAGGATTCAAAGCTCCCGGCTGTGTTAACAAAGGTCGAATACCAACCACCCCTCCTCACCTGTTGGCAACTGGCAACTTCCTTTCTCTTCTCCGGTTTCGATTCTTTGGCTTTATTAATTTATTAATAACCCGGTTTCGACAAAGTCCGCTATTTTCGTTTGTTGATTCCATCAAATGGACTCGACCCGAGTCAAACCCCGCGATGTCCTCGCGATGGAAGCACTGAATGCCATTGTTCGATAGGTATTCGAGCCCCTTAACCACCACAATCAATTGTTGGCGATTTTCCCTTGGCGCGCTTCCGAGTACCCAGTAAACAATCGTCGAGGAAACGATTGTTCCACCCTACTGGCTTCTTTTGGAGATTTCAAATGCACCCATTAAGTTGAGTCCATACTCGATTATGATTTGCGAAAATTATCAACATGGGCCTCTCCTCCCAATCCTCCGTGCCCTCTCCCTCCCATTGCTGCATCAACCAACCCTCAACAACGTCACCAGCCCTGCTGCTTCCAGTCCTTGATGATAATATCCGCAGCCTGCATCTTGTGTTAGCATACCAAATTCACTTTTCGATCTAAAGAAAAAAAAAAAAGAAAAGAAAAGAAAAAAAAGAAAAAAGCTCACCTTCTCGCCCACGGCATAAGCAGTCGCACTCAGATGCGCCGCCGGCAGAATCGGCATCACGCTCATATCCACCACCCTCAACCCCTTCGCCCCATGCACCTTCAACTTGGGTCCAACCACCCCACCCCTACTCTTCGGCAACATGGCCGCCGTACAGCACGGGTGCATGAACGACAGCGTACTCTGCGAGCGCACATACTGCTCCAGCGCCGCGTCATCCGCCGCCACCGCCGCCCCCGGCGCAATCTCCACCGCCCCGCGCGCCTGCATGGTCGGCGTGTCCAGCAGCCCCCGCAGGTACCGCACCTGCGCGAGCTGCACCACCGCGTCCACCGGGTTCGACCCCGCGCGGTAGTCCAGGATCGGCTGCTCCAGCGGGTTGGCCAGGTCCAGCCGCACGGTGCCCCGGCTCAGCGGGTGCAGCAGGAAGGACCACGCCGTGCCGGGTGCCTGGCCGGTGGCCCAGGGGGTCTCGAGGCTGGGCGCCTCCGGGTTGTCGAGCAGGTTGGCGATGGCGAGCAGCTGCGCGTGGTAGCCGGCGACCATGGCCGGGATGGCGGCGACGTCGGCGGGGAGGTGGGGAGGCGGCGGTGCCGTCGGCCACCATGGCGCGGATTTGCGCCGTGATGGTGGCGTGGTTGGGTGTTACGTGCGGGAGGGACACGAAGATGGCGCTGTTACCGCCCGCGAGCGTGTAGGGCCCTCGCGCGGGGGTCTCGTCGAAGCCGGCGATGGCGTCGTTCTTGAAGGTTGCGTTGGTGGTCATCTCGGTTGGTAGTGGGAAGAAGTCGTCGTATGGTTGGGTGTAGTTCCAGGTGACCGGCGGGCCCGAGTGGTCCTGCAGGTTGGAGCCGACGCCGGGCAGGTCGAGCGTCAGCGGGATGCCGGCGCTGGCGAGGAAGGCGGCCGGGCCGATGCCGCTGCGTTGCAGCACCGTCGGCGTGTGCAGTGCGCCCGCCGACACGATGACCTCGCCGTCGACGGTGACGTTGAAGAGGTGGCCGTCGGTCAGGGACCGCGCTTCCACGAGCGGCGGGCCGGCGTCGGGGCCGTTGGGGTATACCACCCGGACTACCTGGTGCTGGACCAAGAGGTCATAGTTGGCTCGGGGAAGCACGTCGGCGTAGTGGCCGAGCCCGGCGTGCGACCGTCTCGCCGTGACGGGGTGCTGCGAGGTCGGAACCCAGCAGACGCCCTCCTTGTCGCCGCCAGCGCAGTCCTGGGGGGTGCTGATGCCCATCTCCTCCCATACCTGCCTGAGGAGGGGCTGGTCGGCCCATTGGAAAGACGCAAAGGAGCTGTGAATGGGAGTCGAGCCCCCGTACGAAGCCAGATCCCACGTGTAGTTGTACCGCTGGCTGATTTCTGCGGGTGGCTCGGTGAAGGTCGTGCTCTTTCACACCGGGCGTGTTAGTCCCCTCTACATAACTCTACATGGTTTCTTTCTCTCACCTTTTGGAAGAAGGGGAAGATGCCCTCCCAGTTCCACTTGTTTTTGCACTGGCCGAACTCCGGCCCGGCGGCCTCGGTCCAGGCGTCGTAGTCGAAACGAGACCCGCGGTCAAAGAACATGCCGTTCACCGCACTGCTTCCGCCGACCACCTGGCCAGCTACGACGGCAGCTTGGTTGCCCCCCATGTCCGGGTTGGGCAGAGAGCTGAATACCCAAGTCGGGGGCGCATCCGGGTTGCCGGTGATCCAGTCCGTCGGCGGGTCGAAGGTCCCGGGGGCGTAGTGGACATCGCCATATTCGATGACGAGCACGTTTTCTACGGCGGTCAGTTGGCTTGATGGGCCATGTCGTGACGGACGCACTTACTCGCAGGGAAGGCTTCGGTTAGGCGGTCCGCGACGGTGAGGCCGCTCGTACCAGCACCGACAATGACAATGTCATACTTGTCGCGGAGCTCTGAGATCTGACGCTTCACATGCGAATTTGGGATGCTCGCCGCGCTCGTCAGAGCAGCGAGCGACACGAAAGCGGCGCCGAGGAGACCCATTGTGCCGTTTCACAGCGAGGCTGAGGATGGTGAGAATCGTCTTCAGGCTGGTGAACTCGACCCGAAGCTGCCGCTTTTAAACCCTCTCACCGCGAATGCTTTCCCCTCTCTCCACTGTCGTTCGCCATCCAACACGACCCCCAATCTCCCGCTCCCTGCCCCCGTCGTTGACAGCCCGGGGCTGCGGGCACGGCGGGGTAACCAGGCCTCAAGGTCGTGTTCCTGCGGGCGAAGAATAGTTGGTGCAACCCTAGCCCGTTCAGGCTCGCGGCTGGGGGGGCTCGAGGGGGGGTTAACCGGGGTTTGTCGGGGTTGCCGGGGTGCTGGGGGGCCATGCCAATGGAGCCCTTCCTTTCGGTCTCGCCATGTGGTCGGCATGATTCGCCGAGTCGAACCTTGCTGAGTTCCCTGTCGGTTTGGAACGAGGGGCGGCATTCTGCCGGTCGCCGAATCCAACCTTGCTGGGAAGCCCTCCCCCGCCCCTTGCGAGCTGGAAACGGAAAAAAACTGTCTCTGTTGGTCACGTCGGGATTGCGCGAAAGGCCAATTCAACATGAAAATATGTGTCATTCGAGGGGGAAATCCTTGCCTGCCTCGGGAGACAGACCCCAGGAGCCCAGTATTTTCCCTGCATCAATCCCTGGTTTGTTCGCTTCGCGCCGTGCTCGGTTCGTCGTAGTCGCCGCGGCGAGGATTGAGCTCCGCTTGTGAGTCCATGTTTCTGAGCTTGCTCTGATTGCTCTCAACGTCGGTGTCGGTGACAGTTCCTCTCTCCCGCGACGTTTGGCCAACTGTTGCGGCACTTATATCAAGCCCCTTCGAAGCTCGCCCGAAGCGGAATGCGTGCAAGGGCATCGACCCGATGGTTCTCGGTCGTGTCGAGTCAGGGTCGTCCTCCAATGACTGATGGTGGTATGGCAGGATGTGGTCCATTAGTGGGCTGAAGATTTTGGACAATAGTGGCTTCAGCGTCGGTATGCACCCGCATATGATGGCTATATTGACCTCGGCGGTCGACCAGTTGGCGATGGTCACCAGATGCCATGTCGCGTCTTTGACGTAGAGCACCTGGTTCAGCCAGACGGCGCGCACAATGGAAATGATACAGAGACTGACACCCCGTCGTCAGCGGCGGTCGCGCGGGGAGTCCACAGGAAAAATGGGCGAGACTTACAACAGCCCCAACGTGAAAACGGCCAAGAGGCCAGCCTTTTGACGCACGGGGATCCTCATGGTAACCACGACGGGAATCGGTATGAGGAAGATCATAAAGTCGGTAATGATGTGCAGGTACGTCAGCGCCCACCAGACCTCGAATGGGTGGCAGTAGCCCTGCAGGTCAGCATTCCACATCTTCTCCAGCGGGATGCATATGGTGAGGTACATGGCGAACCCCCAGACGTTGTAGAGAACTACGAAGCCAAGGGCCCCCCAAGATACCTTGCGAATGTAGTCGTGGGTCAAGACCCGAAGGTAGAGGAGGAGGATCGAGACCTTGGTGATGCAAAGGGTCAGGTTGTAACACATGGTGCCGAAGTAGGACCACTGTGCGTTATCCCGCACCGTACGTTAGCCATCCTCACCCTTCTCTCACTTGCACACCTGTCGGGCTCACTGACTTTGCGGTACGCGTTATACACTTCTTTTGGCACGTTGTCGAAATGTCGGCCCAGACCGTTCCTACTTTCTGATTCCCACGTTAGTCGGCCAGGCGGCAGGTAGACTAGCCCAGGAGTTTCGAGCTCACGCAAAATGACAAAAACACCGAAGCCGACACCGAAGAGCTAGTAAAGGGCCGCCGGGGGGGCGATTCATTAGCTCCAACTGCCCTTACCCATACCGGACACGACTAGCGATGCGAGGGAGCCCTACCAACGACACTAGCATGCACCAGTCCTCACTCTTAACAGAGCGCAGCATTCTCACCCGCACGTAAAAGCGCAAGCCGACGGCCACGATCGAAGTGGTGGTCAGGACGATGGCAGAGATGAGGATCGAGTTGGACCTCTCGATTTCGCCCGCGGTGGGGGGGATCCCGGCGGCCGGGTCTGCCGACGACGATGCCATCTGTGGAGCCGCGCGCTGTGCCTGCTATGTGTGGTGTGTGGTTGACATGGACGGGAGCGGAGAACCAGCAGGGGACGGGGCGAGGCCTGGCTGGCGGGGAAGAGGAGGAGTGTAGTCGGATTTTTTCGTGAGCAATTCGGTCCTCTCCCCTAAGTCGTCCCCCCCCTTCTTTAGTATTGTTGTCTTGGAGAAGCAGGAGATCACCGCGTTATTGTTAACTAGTTATTTGTCAGGGCAAATCAGAGCCGACCCGAACGGATGGGACAAGATCTCGCGGAAATGTCCCAACCGAGAGGCCTGGTTTCAGCCCCTTCGTCGTGCGCGCAAGAATAGCCATGCGACAGATGCGACAGCGGTGTGTTAAACCAATCGCTTGGCCCAGAAATGGGGTCTCGGAACCGATTCCTCACCGGTTCTGTCCCGTTCGAGCAAATCGTGGCGTTCAAACGGGCACAGGGGTGTTATTCCCCGGCCGCCACACTACCCCTTTTTAAGCTTATGGTTCTCGGGGGGCGTCACCGCCGAGATGGCCAGATGCAGCCCAATCCACAAGATAAGGTGGGCTTGGAACTTTCGGGAAGATCCCCAATGGTCCCGTTGTTTTATTTTTCTCATCGAAGACAGAACAGAGAGAACACTGTTGACTGTTCATGCGCGTCCAAGCTCTTCAGGCTTGGAGTGGTTAGATATGTGTCAATCCTTTGCCAGTTTAGGAATTTCTATCCAAGCTGTGCCGCGAGAATGCCGCCTGATTGGTTCCGTCACGGTCCGATGCTCCCGGTTGCTCGGACTCGGGGCGGGAATGCGGGAGTCCGCGTGTCTGCTTTTGACCGCGTCCAGACGATGCCAAACCCCCCGTTCCCCACGCGCTGGATGCGAAATGCGACGGCAAACTGCACGAGAAAGAAGCCGTCTCCTTCCCACGGCGTGCCAAGAAAGATCCTTTGAATCGCCTGATGGGCAAAGTGAGCCCGGCCCGGAAATCCCCTATTGTCCTCGAGTTGGACAAAGAGACAACATTGTCTTTGTCTTACGGCCCAAATTAGGCCATGCATAAGACTTATGGAGGGACAATCGCCGAGTGGCATTTGGCGTTATAATAGCATTGTTCACCACATACGGTTGAAGGAACGAGATCAAAGTTTTGTTTTACTGGGACGGTGGGGAGGTCTCTTCGTGTCTATATAAACAGTCAAACCTCACCTCACGTCCAAAATCATGCCAAGATCCGTCTATACACATAATCACCCAACAATATTATATCAAAACAAGATGACTATCTACACTACATCTTTCGCGGCCCTGGCCCTCCTGCTGGGCACCGCGCACGGGCACATGGTAATGACCACCCCCACCCCCTTTAACCTCCACGGCACAGCCAAGCTCCTCCAGGTCGACCCGCTCGGGAAGTTCCCTTTCCCGTGCCAGGGCCTCTTTGACACGGTGGAGACCACTTCCATCACTGCCGGCAACCTCCAAACGGTCAAAATCAACGGTGGCGCCCAGCACGGCGGCGGGTCGTGCCAATTCAGTCTGACGTACGAGAACCCCCCTCCGGCGGACAAGTCCAAGTGGAAGACCATCTACACCATCATCGGCGGGTGCCCCGTCTCGGCGGCCGGTAACCTGCCCGTGACCGGCACCGACGCCGACGGGCGGGCGCAGTCCCTCCAGTGCGGCAACGACAGCGGTGTCGAGTGCATCCGCCAGTTCGACATCCCCTTCCCCAAGGAGCTGCCCAACGGCAACGCCACCTTCGCGTGGACCTGGTACAACAAGATCGGCAACCGCGAGGTGTACATGAACTGCGCCCCCGTGAGCATCACCGGCGGCGCCGACAACCAGCAGTTCTTCGACGAGCTGCCCCCCATCTTCCTCGCCAACGTGCCAGGAGAGTGCACCACGGGTCAGGGCGTGTTCAACATCCCCAACCCCGGTAGGTTTGGGAGGGTGCTGGAGCAGCCCCTGCCCGGTAACGAAGGGTCGTGTCCCAAGGTGGCCGACGTGCCAACCTTTGAGGGCAGCAGCGGCGGTGGCAGTGGCAGTGGCAGTGGTAGCGGTAGCGGCAGCGGAGAGAGCTCGTCCATCATCGCGTCGCCCGTCCCCAGCGCCTCGGCCCCCCCTGTCGCTTCTCCTCCTCGTGCTTCCTCTGGTTTCATCACGCAGACGGTTCCCGCCGGCGCGTCTTCTACTTCGGTCGTAACCCCCCCTGTGCCGAGCGCCACGAACGGTGGTGGCTCCGGTTCTGTGCCGCCTGGTGGCCAACCCTGCTCCCCGAACGGTGCCATCATCTGCTTCAGCCCAACCTCTTTTGGGCTGTGCGCCAACGGCTTGGCCATCCCCCAGCAGGTAGCCGCCGGGACTACGTGTAATGCCGGCGTTATCAGCCGTCGGAGCGCCAAGTTTGTTTGGTGGTAAGTATTGTAAATACTGAAATACTGCTGGGTGGTGCAGGTGGGTGCCAAGATTGAAAAGGAACAACACTCTTTGATGCCGACTGTTTGACAGGTAGAGTAACGTAAATACTTGAGAGGAGTACGGCGTCTCAGGATGGATGGCTTTAGAATAAAACAATAAATACGTTCGTTTGCTTAATTAAAAGTTTGCTTACCCCCTTCTTCTGTCTTTGGTTTGTTTGATTTAGTCATCGTTGGTCTCCCCTTGCTACTGAACTCTTTAGATTATATCACACTATCTGATTGACAACAACGAATTGCACTTACACTTTGAAAACTATGACGGATATAATACTTAACATTGGTTCATAAAATAGCTCACGTTACAAATCAGCATGACATGCTTTGTTGTACTAGCCTGATTCTCTCTATCATTCCCAATACCTCATAATAATATTGACTCAACACTTAAGCTTCCTTTTGTCTCCTTGTTAGATTTCTATGTTCTCGGGCCGCCAGCTAACAAGTTGACACTCAACCCAATCATTCTTGAGTGCTGCGGATGAAGACATGGAAGACGAGTCTCCGTCCCAACTCCCCAACCCCGCTCCCCCATTCTTAAAACCATTGGCCCGCTGGTTCCCGCTTCCACCTTTGGGGCCCCATCTTATTACGACGGCCCGATTTCCCTCCATGACGATCTCCACCGGTGCAAAAACGTGCTTCCCTAGATTCAGCCGGGCATAAGATCTTCCTCCGATAAGGCCGTCCCATCAACATCCCCTCATCTCGAGAACATCCATACACTCACAACACAACTACTACTTATCAAGATGACTGGAATCGCGTTGCTCGGAGCAGGCATCTTTGCGCGGGAGGGTAAGTCCCATCACGAAATTGAAACCCAACAACCCCCTTTCCCCGGGCACCCATCCCAAAACTCCATCATCCCCCGCTCATCTCATTCTCATGACTCACTCAACCTAACCCCCCCACCAGAACACCTCCCCGCCATCGAAGCCACCCCCTACCTGACCCTCAAAGCCGTCTACTCGCGCTCCCAGCACTCAGCCGAGACCCTAGCCGCCGCCTCCAAGGACCCGTCCTCCGTAGCCATCTACTTCGACAACCCCACCGTCCCCGGCAAATCACTCGCCGACCTCCTCCAGCGCGCCGACATCGGCGCCGTCGACGTCGCGCTGCCCATCCTGCAACAGCCGGCGGTCGTCGAGCAGGCGCTGCGCGCGGGCAAGCATGTCTTGTCGGAGAAGCCGGTGGCGGGGGATATTGAGGGGGGCAAGGCGCTGATTGCGAAGTATGAGGGGTTGGGCGAGGGGAAGCCGTTGTGGGGGGTGGCGGAGAATTGGCGGTATATGGAGTCGTTGAGGTATGCGGCGGAGAGGGTGCGGGAGGTGGGTGGGGAGTTGGTTACGTTTAAACTGCATAAGTATGGCTCGGTGAAGGCGGATAATAAGTATTTTAATACGGCGTGTAAGTGTGGTGGTGTTTGGTTGGTGTGGTGGATGCTGGCTAACCCGTGAATAGGGCGCAAGACTCCCGAATATCAGGGAGGGTTCCTCCTGGATGGCGGTGTCCATTTCGTGGCTGGACTGCGGTTTCTTCTGGAGGCGGCGGGCCAGGAGATCAAGCAGCTGGTGGGATTCAGTGGGCTGCTCGACGAGAAGCTGATCCCCGTGGATACTGTTCAAGCTGTGGCCCTCACGGGGAACCGCAAGAGCGGCACCATCATCATTACGTTCGGCACCGAGTTCAAGTCTGGGACGGAAGTCGAGGTCGTGACGACCAAGGGTGCCGTGTCCTGGAACCCCGTCGAGGTCAAGACGGTGACGAGCAAGGGTGAGGAGAAGAAGGAGTTCCCTTCCAGCAACGGCGTCACGGAAGAGGTTGCTGCTTTTGGTGAGGCTATCAACGCCGGCCAGATCAACAATCTCCAAAGTCCTCAGGAAGCTCTCAAAGATCTTGAGATTCTGCAGAGACTGCTCGAATCAGGGGCTGGCGAGGGCGCGGTGAAGAGCGTCGGGTTGTAAACAAGGGCCGATATCGCGGCACAGCAAGGCACCAGGCTGGCGGGTTGGTTCCAGCAAGAATCATCCCTGCGGCGCATTAAACTGTGCATAATGAATCAAGCGACGCAATTTCTCAACTCACTGTCAGCTCTGAGCGTCTCCCATGCAAACAACAGCCCATCATCGTCGTAGAGCCCAGCCCTTTCCTGACCGTTTGTTTTCAATATTGGGTATATTCAACGCCTTTTACCCAGAGCAATGCCGTCCGCGATTCAGGGAAAGCAATCAGTGAAGGCAAAACTCAAGTTCAAGCCAGAACCCAAGAATCTGACGTTGAGGCTCTTGAGTTCGACGCTCCGCGTCCTTTGCCTCAGCGCGGTCGTCTACTTTTTATTTCTCGGACTTCTCACGATTACACTTTTTCAGGACCACGCCATCTATCTTCATGGTGTAACGCACACCGGGAGTCAAGATGTCACCGTCGCGGAGCAATGGGGATTCCTCCCGAACCAAGTGACCCCTTTTACACTTGAGACTCCGGATAGCATAACACTCCACGCTTGGCACATACTTCCGCTGGGAATCTATGACAAACATCAAGATGAGCTTGCCAGCCAGTCCGGCTTATCAGGAAACATCACGGACCGCACATCTTTCAAATTGCTCCGTGACGACCCCGAGGCGCTGCTCGTGCTTTACTTCCATGGCGCAGCCGGCACACTCGCGTCAGGATGGCGGCCACAAAGTTACCGAGCCATGTCTGCTGCTGCCCCTGACAAAGTCCACACAGTCGCCATTGACTATCGTGGTTTCGGGTCCAGCAGCGGAGCCCCCTCCGAGCGCGGCCTCCTCACCGACGCCATCACCGTCGCGGAGTGGGCAATGCAGGAAGCCGGGATTCCCCCTTCGTCCGCATCGTCATATTCGGCCAGTCTTTGGGAACTGCGGTTGGAATATCCCTCGCGCGCAACACGTAGCGCCGTCAGGACACATCCCACGCTCTTTGCCGGCCTGGTGCTGGTAGCGCCTTTTGCAGACGTGGAGCTCCTGACATCCAGCTACCGCATCGCCGGGATCGTGCCCATCCTCAGCCCTCCTGGCGCCATTTCCCCGACTCCTGGCCTTCTTTAACACCTTCATCCTCAGCAAGTGGCCTAGCAAGGACAAGCTTGCCGCGTTCATTCGGCAGTGTGAGGGCATGTCTGGTGACGGTCTCAAGTACCACGTCACCATCATTCATGCCCAGGATGACTACGACATCCCATGGTCTCACAGTGACCAGTTATTCTGGCATGCCGTCAACGCGTCCCGGCCCAATGGCATCGTCTTTCAGGATCTGGAAGGGGAGAAGGCGAAGGGCAAGAAGATGCTCGGGCCCGCTGAGTGGGTAGCAGAACATCGAACAAAGGGGTTGTCAGGGAGGAGATCACTAAATGGGGGTTACATGACAGGATCATGTCATATCCGATTGTGAGCCTCGCGGTGCTGAAGGCATTTGAGAGGGGATGAGCCGTCTCACGCATTTGATGTTACCGATTACAGGGGCTCTTTCACAGCGCATAATCCGCAACAAATGCTATAAATGATGGAGGACAACAAACTACTCACTCTCACATATCCTAATAACAAGCGAGCTCTGTGGCCGTCAGTCTGTAGCCCCATCTCTCATCCCCCCCCCCCCCCCCCCCCTTACCCCCCTCCTCCGCTCAAGTTCAATCAAACCGCCGGCGGCATCCCCTCACACCCCCTAAACGGAATCTGCGCCCTACAATCCGCCTCACACACGGTCCCATTGCGCGGGACCTCCCCCGTCCTAAAATACGCCCGGACCAACTCCCGCGTGCACTCGCTGACCGCCGACATCTGCGCGGCATGGCCCACCGACTCCTGCACCACCACTGCCGACCCGCCGTGCAGGCTCGACAGGTGATACGCGTTCGCCAGCGGCGTGACGTGGTCGGTGCGCGAGGACAGGATCAGCAGCGGCGCCCTGGTCAGCGCGGTGGTGTCGTTGTTGGTAGCTGGGGGTGGTGGTGGTGGCGCGGGGCTGCCGAAGGGGCCGCGGAAAGGTGTAGGGCGGGTTGAAGCGCCAGCCGGCGCAGTTGAGAGGAAAGAGAGCCCACGGCTCGCCGATGGAGAGAGGACTGGTTGGTGACGCGGGCGACGGTGGCGGCGGCCCAGGCCGGGTCGGTGCGGTCGCCGGCGAGCGCTTGGGAGTCGCCGCAGGCGATGCCGAGGTTGGCTTCGAATTGGTTGGTGAAGGCGGTTGAGAGGCTGGTAAAGGGCGGTTCGGTGCACACGCCCGGCCGCGTGTCGGTGCCCAGGACGGCCGGGTTGGAGAGGATGAGGGAGAAGTTCCCTGCGAGGGCCCCGGCGAGGGAGCGGGAAAGCGATTCGAACTTGAGGATGGGCGCGTACAGGCTCTGGCGGATCTCTTCGCGCACGAAGAGGGAGGTGACCAGGTAGACGCGGCCGTTGTGGATGGCTGGAACGGGGTTTTCCTCGAGATCCTGGATAAGGGCGTCGACGCGGGCTCGGATGGAGGCGGCGCTGGTATCAGTGGTTTGGTAGAGTGGGCAGAGCTCTCCAGCGTTGAAGCAAGTGCTGTAGAGGGCATCAACGGCATCCTCGGCGTCATTGATGTTCTTTGCCCGTTGCTGGGTGCACGGGTGCACGTGTCAGCATGTCATGAGGCATAGGGGTATGCTGCCCCTTGAAGATGAGATGGGATGACTTACGCCCAAGTTGAAATCCTCCGCATCAGCAATCCCATCCACCACCATTCTCCCAACCCGATCCGGAAACATAGACGCAAACGTACTCCCCAGAATCGAGCCGTACGAAATCCCCCAATACTGCAACTTCGGCTTGTCCCCACCGCCACAAACCTTCCCCGTCCCATTCCGCTCCCTCACCAACAGCTCATGACTCCGCTCCACAACCTCCAACATATCCCTCGCCACCGACGCCGTCGACATATGATTAAACACACTGTCCTCCCCTCCCGCCGCCGTCTCACACAACTCCGCCACCCCCCTATTCACCGCCGCCACCATCCTTAACCCCTCCTCCGTCAACACACTCGGCAACCTCTTGCTCGCCATCGCGGCGACCGCGCGATCGAACTGCGACTTGTAGCACACCGCGGCCGGCGTGGTCCGCCACACGCCGCGCGGATCGATGCCGACCAAATCATGGTGCCGCACCCCGGGCGTATCAATGACCCCCTGCAGCCACGGCCCAAACACGCGCGCCCACTCGGCGTTGGGGCCGGCCCGGCCCCCCGCCGTTGATCAGCACGGGCCCGCCGTAGGGCCGGGTCCGTCACGGGCACGGTCGCTGGCAGCGTGATGATGGCCAGGGCGGCGTGGGGCCCGGCCGCGGCTGTTTCCGGGCGGGTCCAGTCGAGGGGGACTTGGAGGCGGGCGCAGCGGAAGGTGTTGTTGTAGCAGGGGTGGTACTGGAGGGAGGGGGTGGGCGTGATGGTGGACCAGTCGAAGGTGTCGGGCTCGAGTTGGCGCGGGAGGAGGGGGTGGGTGTCGCTGGTGTGGAAGGCGGTGGTGGGGGTTGGGGTGGTGAGACTGGTGAGGAGGAGCGTGGTGGACCAGAAGGTCCAGGAGGGAGGGGATTGGCGGCGCATGGTGCGTGGTTGTCGGTTGTCAGCCTCGCGGGGAGGGAACACGCTGGGGTGGAGTTGTGGTTGGCACTAGCTTGAGGGTTTCAGCTGAGATGGTGTCAAGCTGGGGTGGTGTCAGCTGTGGTGGTGGTGCTTTTTGTACGAAGGAGAATAAAATCTCCGAGGATCGCGTACTATTTTAACCGACGTCGCTGATCTGAAAGGTAAACGTGGTATCCCTGAAAGCCCACGCCCACGCGTGTACATACCTGCAGGCCAAGAATTCCTACGACCCTTCGCTCGAGTCCTTTCTAGGGCCCCTGTCGCGGGAAGACCTTCTTCGGTTTACCCGTTGCGGGATCTTGGAGGTTGAAAAGAGGAAAAAGAGTTATTCCCATTGGGCAGTAAGCGAACGAGGCAAGGTTCAAGATCCTCATCAGGACCATTGCTACCATGCCCGTGGTGCCGGTTTGGAGTCACGGAACACACAGCCGTGTCAAAAACGTCACTTGGCTGGGCGATGTGGACCACCAGTGTTTGGAGGATTCGTTTTCTCCGTGAGGGAACTTTGTTCCTTGACAAGACATGGGTTTGTGGCATACTACTCTAAGTGTGAAGAGATCGGGATGCAGGCCTGTTTTAGTGTAGCTCCTTGTCGTTCGGCAGCTGAGGTTCATGGAAGAGGTTAGGAAGTAATTGGATCTCCCCAATAGGAACACTACAAAGCTCCCGAACCGGCCATTACGCACATCAATGGGCAAACGGAACCTCAATGTCTAGCCCGAGGCACAGCCTGCAAGGTTCTTCCAGTGAATCCCTTCCTCTCAGGCCTCCTGGCAACGTCGGGAACAAGCCCCCGCCTCTCTTATTTCCAATCTTGTTATAATTTACAATTGACCGTGAAAGGCCCGTCCGTGACGCAGGGTTGCGCGTAACCCCGTTTGCCTAGACTTAGACTATTAGCGTTCCGGCTTCGGAGTGATCTTGTTCCCCGAGAATGAGGAACTGCCGGCAAAGCTAAAGTCATCTGATCCTGGAGAAAGAAAGTTTAATGAATACCCAAGAGTGAAGACAGGTTGCTCATCACACCTAGTATTTGGATGTGCCCATGATTTGACCTTGATGGAGATTATCGACTGAGCTCTTACGAAAGTTTTTGAGGATGCCGAAGGGGCGGATAGGGGTCTCTGGGAATGTTATTTGCCATGACACTTTTGAAAGCCTCTTACCTAGGTAGTCTGCTCGCAGCTACTAGCCTTCAAAAAAAGTCCCAATTTTACGGATGGCATGGAATAACTAGGCTCTGAAGATTTAGCAAGATTGCAATAACTTGATTGAATAGCTCAGCCGAGGTACATTAAGCTACATGCCCCCCAAAAAAAACACGCTCTTCGCCCGCGAGGGAATTGTGAAACAGTTCAGTAATCAGAAATGCTCCTCCACCAGCTGGGCCACTTCCTGCCCGAGACCAAAGCTGTGAATGTAGCCGCCAATGGTGGTGCCATACGCATGGACAACCTTCTGGCCGTGAATTTCCTGCTTTTCAAACCGAACGCCTGCCGGTCTCAAGGGGCGTATTCCCACCGAGTTGTCCACAATCTGGTAGTCAGCGGCCTTGGGAGAGGGGAAGTGCTCTCGCAGATGCGCGTGCGCCCGACCCAAGATCTATGACATGTTAGTCCGAACGAACGGGCACGTTTCTCCCCCAGCGCCCTGAGCAACTCACATCTTCATGCACCTCCCCCCACGGCTTGACCGGGTCAGAAGCCGGCTCCGAAACGCCCCCAACCACGGCAGTCCCATCCCCACGACCAAAGATATACGTGTAGACCCCGCTTCCGCGGTGCACAAACGCCTCCTGAAAGTCCGACTTGACCACCGTGACATACGTCCGATCCGTCACCACCATCGCGTCCCGCACATCCTCCAACCCCCGACTCGCCCCGCCCGACGCATTAACCAGGACATCATGCCCAAGATGCGCCAGCTCCCCCAACGCTTTAATCTCCCCAATCCTCTCAAACTTCACTCCTCTCTCCACCAACCGCTTCCGCAACCACCCCAAAAACACAGCGGGGGTCAACACAACACTCGCAAACCTCACCCGCGCCTCCACCCCATCACCGCCTTCCTCAAGCACCTCAAATCCGGGCACGCGCCCGTTGTACCACAACCCGGCCGGGCCCGTGTCGCTGGCCTTGATACCGCCGCCGCCGCCAAAGACGTCGGTCAGCTTGACCTGCCGCACCGACGACTCCGGGTGCTCGGCCGCCAGCGTGCGCAGGTAGGCCAGCGCGGCGAGCTGCATCTTTTGCTCGGGGATGGAGCCGCCGAGGGCGACCCAGCCGGCACAGGCCCTGCGTGTGGTGGGGGAGGTTGTTAGTTGGTTGGTTGGTTGGTTCATGTCATGGTTGATCCATGGTTGGCTGTTATTGTTGGGGCGGGTGTTGGTGTTGGTGGGGGGACTTGGAGGGAGTTGGGGGTTTGGGTTACGCAGAGGGAGGGAACCTACCAGGGGCTGGCCCAGTCCTGGGAGGGAGCATCGCCGGGGAAGTCACGGGCTACAATGGTGATTTCGTGTTTGGAGGGGTCGTTGTCTGTTAGGATAGCGGCGGTGGCGAGGCCGACAATGCTGGAAGGAAGGGGTATGTTAGTGGGATTGGCCGACTGGTCGGGCGGCTGAATGATAAGCTTACCCGGCGCCGAAGATGGTAATTTTGCCCATCGTGTTGGTGAGGTGAGGCAATGTTTGGTTGGCTTGGTTATGTGGTAGTTGTGGCGTGGTTTCAGTTCTGGTTGTGGTTCTTGTTGAAGAGTGTGAGTGAGGTGATTCGGCAGTTCTAATAGGGAACTTTCAGAGGCAGAACAGTGTGGTGAGCGAGGTTGACTGGAGGCTAGGTACCTTCCTGGCAATCTCATTTCCAAGTTGGCCGTGACCGAGTTGGTGGAGGGTGACTTGGGTCATGAACCCGCGGAACCGGGTGTTCCTTTCTGCAGTCAGTGCTCCGTGCCAACAAGTAGAGACGGAGACGGAGTTGCCATCGCCCCGAGTACCAACAATGGGCGCTATCACGAAGATCTCATCCACCCACCCATCCACCCACCCATCAACCCACTCACCCCCGCACCAAGAAGAGGCCTGCCGTGCCACACGAGATAGTTACATGGCGTCAACTGCCGCTTCTGGCAGTCACGTTCACAGCCACGGAACCGTAAGAGCTGATAATCGGCTAGCGAACCCAAGTCACAGATCGCCACAGAAACGCCACGCTAACTGATGGTGGCAGCCCTTGTCCATGCCGATCCAGTCTCGGCACTCAGCTGCACTCCAACACAACCAACCCACTAACCCGGGTCCAGCCTTCTCCGGTCACAGGTGACACAAGAAGAGGGAGGGCATGGGGGAGGGGGGAGGGGCAACAGCCTTCCCTCCCACTCGGGAGATCCCCGGCGCTGTTGGATGAGGATCTGGGCGAAGACTGGCCGGGGTTGGCTACCCTGGTGCTGGTGCCGAGACAATGGCGTGCCAGGGGGGGGGGTCAGCAACTTTCCACTCGCAGCTGACACTGGGGTGCGTCATGGTATGGCGACACTGTGTTCGCGGCAAGTCATCTCCCCCGATCGTGATTTGCCGAACCCAGGTAAGGAAGATTACGCGAACGTTAACGTTCTGCCCCCCGGAGATCCAGACTGGATCCCGGTTACGGGACGGCTTGGCGATCCCGGACGATCCAGTCCCGAAGTAGTTCGGGCCGCCGGAGACTAGACCGGTATAGTTGGCACCATGGTGTTGATTCGTTCGCCCGCATCAAGACGCTTTCACTCAATTAGCTTAGCCGTCACCCAATGCCTCAGCCGGACTGTGATGGGAGTGTGATGATTCCCGTCTTGGCTTTGTTTGCTTCTCGCAGGGCTCTCGACTCGGCTCAGAGGAAGGCGCAGGAAGGCGCGGGGCACGATCCGGGGGCGACTCCGGCGATGCCGACCCCCCGCCTTCCGGGCAAAGCGAGGGAGTTAGTTCCATACCAACACCAAGCACCACCAACGTTTCTTCCCTTCGGACTTCAACCCCGCTTCTTGTTGGCGTTCCTTCCGAGTCAAGAGTTCAATAGCGGTTCACACACAAACCAACCCACCGAGCCGCCCCTCTTTCCCCCCTCATGACTGATTGATGACTTGATGGGTCGCCCATTCCGTGATGAGATCGGACCACAACCATGTCGTCTCGGCTGACGCCAACAACCCCCATGCCGTGGCGAAGCCCCGAGGTTCGTGACTTCCCGAACTAGCCTTTCGTGTCATCATCTCAAGACGCGGCAGGAGGGCAGGTCGTGATTGACTCACTGCGCTACTCTTATCACATCGCTGCTGTCCCCCACCTCTGCCTCCCTATCTCCCTGCCTGCTTTCCTGCCTCCCTGTCCGCCTGCCCATCTGCCCATCTGCCCCATTCTTGCCACGCGGCCACCAACGGCTTTGCTGTTCACACCTGCCTGACTTACACGAACCCAACCCCCCCCCCCCTTCCTCCCCACAGGGCTCAACCCCCTCCACCCCCCCTGCCCGTCACAAACAGAAACAGAAACAGAAATGGCCTAGAGCGGCAGCATCGGCAGCAGCAACATCAGCAACAGCAGCCGCGACCCCCACTTCCCTTCCTCGCACCCGAGACTTCGAAGCCGCCCGCTGCTTCTCGGAAGGTAACAAGTGGTGATAATAGAGCTAAGCGAGAGACCTGCAGGGCAGGGCGGTGCAGGACATGGGACATTGCCCGCCTCCGCCCCAGTATGCGTTCTCCGTACACACAGAGTACCTACTGTGAGTAATGAGTGTCAGAAAAGCCAAAACAAAACCCACGAGTGGCGCCCGGTTGAACGGCCTCGGCCCGCGACGATCAACAAGGCTGATTTTCTCCGGCGGATTGCTGCTTTTGTGCAGGTGCATGAACCCCGCTTCTGCAGGCCTTGAACACCGTGCAAGGCTTTTGGTTTCTTGTCAGATCTAGCTCTGTTTTGGGAAAGGCAGGTCTCACTTATTCAATGGTGGCAGCCCTAACCCTGGTGTTTGTTGACTTGGCTCGCTCGGTGAGGGAGGGAGGGAGGGGTTCAGAGAAGGGCGGGGGTTCGGAGAATCAAGTGGCGGGGTCAATTGAGACTGGAGAGCCTTGCGCATGGGATGATGGAAATTGGACACGAGTATCGCAGGAATTGATTGATGACGATTGTAAATTTGAGCACAGCTGGATTTCGATATTGTTGATCTGGGCACCTCTGAGAAGCTGAACGAGAAATATGAAAGGAAGTCAAACAAAATCACACCCTAACCCCACAACAAACCGTTCCATTTCCCCTTCCATCACCCCCCCTTCCACCCCCACCTCCACCTTCCCCTCCCCCTCCCCCACCCTCCCTAAACTGCACTACTACATACCCCTGAACGAGGTCACACTGCATGCGCCCTCTCCGTAAAAGATGACCGGCAAGGGAGCCGACACGGTGGTGAATGTATCCTGCTTCCCATCCAAGAACCCCTGCTTGGTCTGGCCGGGGGCGATGGTCAGATCGTACCGCAGCAGGATCTCACCTACCACACGCCTCAGCTCCAGCATGGCCAAGCGTTTGCCCACACATGCATACGGGCCTACCACATGCCACACACACACCCTGGTCAGCATTCGTGCCACACACCCACACCCACACACCCACAAACTAGTGAGCCTCATTCCGGACTGAAGGGGACGACTAACCTGTGTTGAACGGGATGTAGACCGACTTATCCCTGACCAGCTCCGGCCGGGTGGTCCACCGCTCCGGGATGAAGTCATTGGGGTACGCAAACGCGCGCTCATCCCTGAAGATGGTGTAGCTTGGCACCTGGACGATGGTGTCGCCGGGGACGAAGTGGTCGCCAATCCACAGGCCCTCGGGCGGGGTGACGCGCTGGGTGCCCGAGGGGACGGGGGGGTCCAGGCGCATGGCCTCGTTGATGACGGCGTCCAGCAGGGGCACAGTCATGAGTTGGTCGTGCGAGATGTCCGGCAGGGCGTCGAACTCGGCCTGCAGCCGCCGCGTCAGGGAGGGGTCCCATGCTAGGTGGAAGAAGATGTGGGTTAGCGCCGCCGCTACGCTGTCGCTGCCCGCGATGACGATCAGTTGCGCGTCGCCGTGCAGGTTGAGCTGGTCCCGCTTGGTTTTGGGGCCTTTGTTGTACGCGGCCAGGATCCAGGAGAAGATGTCGGGTTGCTCGGGCTCTTTCTGTTTTTTTAGTGTCAGCCGGCTGTTACATACATGCGAGATTTGCAATCCAAAGATCGGATGAATGTACGTACCTGCTTGCGTTCGTCAACCAGTTTCTGAATCCAGCCTAGAAATTCGTAATAGTTCCAGTTCAGGATCGGGGTGCGCTTGATGAAGGGCAACAGCCAGGGCATGTGAGTGAAGAGGGCAATGTTGAACATGTCAGTGCGAATCGTCTTGAAAACATAGGCCTCCTTGCCCTCAGCCAGCATGTTGGACGATTTGTTGAAGGCCAGATCCTCCATCACGTCAAACACAAAGTATGAGAACCATTTCGACACATCAAAGGCCTGTCCCTTGCTGCGGTCAATGGCAGCGAGCAGCTGGTTGATGGCCTTGGTGATGCGAGGATCATACCCCTGAATTGCTGTGGAAAAGCGTTAATGCAGGGGCCCCATGAGCGAAATGGCGAATCATGATCTACCTTTGGTGGTGAAACCCAGATCCCACACCTTTCGGCGACGTGCATGCTCCTGCTTGTCTCGGGCCATGAACAGCGGAACCCGCGGCTCCAGCAGCGTATACCAAGGACCCTTGGTGACAGGAGATTGGGTGCCATAGATGGCCTTGACGGCTTCTGGCGAGGCAATGGAAATCTCACTTGGCCCTGCAGCACAAGTCAGCCGCCAATGACCAACCTACAAAGGGAATGCCCTTGGGCCATTAAAAAGAAAACCACTCACCAAGGCGGACATAATCTCCATACTGTTGATGAAGTTGCTGCACCTCTTTGAAGAGATGCAGCCTCTTAACCGACAATGCCGTGATGTAGAAGTTGGTGAGACGTGCCAGGAAGGGACCCGGGTACTTTGAAAGCCGGTGGAAGAATGCACGATACACAAGCATGCTGCTGTACAACGCGGCAACGTGGAAGCCAGCCATTTGCGAGATTGCCGACAAAGGGGTGCTGACGAAGTTGGAATACGATAGCAGGGCGGCTGCCGCAAAGACAGTGGAGTAAAAAACAAAGACGGAGGGAGATACCACATCCCATTCTCCACGGCGGAAGATGATAATGTGAGTAAGCACGCCGCTAATTGCGGCGAGCAGGTTGAGGATGAGGGTGGATTCCATGGTTTAGGTTGGTGGTGGTTGCTCCAATGTTCGCACTCGATGCGATGCTCAGAGCGGGAATTGTGGGAATTGAAGAGGAGAAATAAGAAATCCAGGAACCCCATGGAGTGCAGGGAGCAGTATTATGCTGAAGAGGCTGGGGGAGCAATGACAGGTTCGTCAATGTGCAATGTAACCGTTACTATCATGGATCAAAAACACCCCGCATCACATGCACCAAATGCATCACACAACTAGCAGGAGCAGGCATTGTGACTGGAAAGCGGCGATCCCAGCTGCTGAGACTGTATCATGGGGGTGGCACTGGGAAGGTCGACTCTAGTCCCGGTACGTCGAGAGCCATGTCTCACTTACACGCCACAAGGCGATGCAGGCCCGCCAATCATCACACAGAATGTCTCAGAGCCTTGCCAGACTTGTGATTCTTTTGTCCGGTTGGTCAAACCCCCTTGCCTCCAGCAGAATAGACCCGATCACGCTTTTGATATGTGGTGTACCTACCTGGATCGAACCCGTCTTGGTTGGAACTTTCCCAGATCATGAATCATGCAATGCAGCCTTGGCCCTGCCCCTTCGCTTATCAGTCTTTCTTGACGTAACGGCAGTGCGAGCAGGCCGTTTGAAGCCGTTGGAAGCCAGTGCTAGCGCCTTTCCTTGCTTGCCCACTTGCCCACTTGCCCACTTGCCGCCCACCATGAGGGGGGGGAACTCAACAGGATCGGCGAATCCTGTGAGAATAGGAAGGGCCGAACTGCACTGCTGAGCAGCTTGTGACCCTCACTGCCTCGGGAAAGCACGTACAATGCCCGGATCCCGCGGCTGGCCGATGGGGTTCGGCAACAATGGCCCAGCTCCATACCCACCTCCCTTGTGATGTCAGTTCTTGTGAATTCCCTTGCAATCGCAGGGCTGGAACAAAGGCAGGCACGGCACGCCGCTGTTATCCATCGAGGTGCCCAGCGTCATCCATATAATACCAGCTCTGAGAACCAAGATTCCTTCCGGGCTGACCCAAACTTCCACCACACTATCCACCCACATCCTCCCTTCCCATCAACTCTTAGGGCCAAACCCTTTCCTGTTCTCACATTCTGGTAGAAATCGCAACCAAACTACCAAATCTTTCTTCCATTTTTTCTGGGTTCGTCCAGACCACCCCCTTCCAGATCACGCCACCAGTGTTCCCTCAAGATGCGACTATTTGAAGGTTTACAAGAGTACGAACGCTTGAGCCCATGGCCTGAGAGGAGTCCCATTCTCATTCAGCTAAAGCATGGCATCGACTTGAGGGTATGTCTCATCTCGTGTGCACTTTGCACTCCCTCCCATCCGACCACCGCCCAATTAACACCCGCCCACAGCTTGACGTCCCCAACTTTGGCGTTTCAACAACCAGTGATGGCGATGATGAGTCTAGTTCGTCTTTGACTCGTGTGGTCCTTGCACACTCAGCCTTCAAGGCCGCCATGGACCGGGGAGTGGCACCCAACGATGGCTTCTTCAAGAGGTGCGCTGCCGAGGTCAAAGCCATCAGTCTCTTCTTTCCAGACATCAAGGCCGACGGACTCCGAATTGCCTTCACAGCATGGCTGGCGTTTGCTTGCGCAATGGATGACATTTTGGAGACTTTGGAGATGGGCGATCGGGAGCCTGTTTTGTGTGAGACCATTGAGGTGCTGACACAGGGTAAGTGACTCCGCACAATGCTCTTTTGAATGTTGCATTAAACTAAGATGCCAATAGCCATCGCTAGCACTCCGCCGAGAATCCGATCATTCGCACAAGAGGCCAAGGACAAGCGAATCCAAGCACTGGGAAGCGAGCTGTTTAGTCACTGCTCTCGCTACCTTTCATCAGACAGCACACAAGCCTTTGTCAAAGCCGTGTGCGAGGTGTTGAAAGCCCATATCACAGAGGTTCACTTTCTTCAGGGTCGATATGGTGACAGTTTCCCAGAGTACCTTAGCATCCGCAGTCGGACCATCTCCCTGAACCCATTCTTCGAGGTTATCAAGACGGAGTATTTGGTGCCGGCTGACTGGAAGCTCAACGACTCCTTCTTGAAGCTGCAAAACGAGGTTTCGAGAGTCGCTGGCCTGCAAAACGACCTCATCGGACTGATGCGAGACATTGATGATGGCGAAGAACTCAACGCGGTCATGATCTTGATGCGTGGCTTTCGAGGCCACAGCAAAGACCACATCGACTACGGAATTCTGGCCAGGTGTGTCGCCTTGGTCAATGCCGAGCACAACCAGAGCTCTGCCCGGTGCTTCGATTACATGAGACAACTCCACCGAGAAGCTGAGGCCCTGGAAGGCTCCGAGATCAAGAGGGTGGAAGCGGTTGCCCGGCACATGATCATGATGTGCGAGACACATTTGAGATGGTGCTCCTCCGCAAAGCGGTACAGGCTCGAGATTGGTGTTAATGGGGTCATTCCAACTCCTTGTGGATCGGACTCCAGTGCCTTGTCATCGCCAACTCTGGAGCAACCGACCATGATTCGACCGTCCCAGCTTCAGCCGATTCCGGATGCGGTTATGCCTGCACAGGAACTCGTTGTTCATTCTGACGGCATCTTTCACGGACTTCCATCCTTCCCAGCCAGCCCGGACTGCCGCGGCTTGACGGCCCTCGTCACGGGGGCCACCGGGTTGTCCGGTTACAACATGGTGAAAGTGCTCGCCGCATCACCGCAACGCTGGAGCAAGATCTACTGCCTCAGCTCTCGACCACCCCCGAGAAACTTCTTCCAAGACCTCGGTGAAGGTGCTAGCCGCGTCGAGCACTTGGCCATTGACTTTCTGGACGACTCGTCGGAAATCGCTCGACGGCTGAGGGATGCGGTTCAGCATGTGTAAGTACTTTTTCCATCCTGGCACGGGCGCATCTGACTAACCCGAACCGCCAGGGACCACGTTTTCTACTTTTCCTACAAGCAGCCTGCGCCCAAGGGCGATGTCTTGGATTTGTGGGCCAACGCTGACGAGCTGGCGACTGCCAATGGTAAGCTATGTCGGTTCATGCAACGTCCTCGTGATTCCTTCCACTAACAGGAGCAAACAGTGGCGCTCTTCAACAACTTCGTCTTTGCCTTGCAACAGACTTCCCTCAAGCCGCGCCGATTCATGCTGCAGACCGGCTCCAAACATTACGCCTTCTATCTCGGCCCTGCATCGCTCCCAGCCTTTGAGTCGGACCCGCGTGTCCTCCTGGACCGCAACTTCTACTACGAGCAGGAAGACACACTCGCGGCGTACTGCGAGTCCGTAGGCGCGGCATGGAATATCGCACGCCCCTCGTACATTGTTGGCGCCGTCCGTGACGGCACGCTCAACCACCTCATTGGGTTCGGCATCTACGCAGCGGTGCAAGCGCGCCTCGGTCAGCCCATCGCTTTTCCGGGTGACTACCGAGCTTGGGACCGAGAGCAGGTCCAGAGCACCGGCATGTTGAACGCCTACTTTGAAGAGTGGCTTGTTCTCACTGGGAAGACCGCCAATGAGGCGTTTAACATTCACGACGGCCTCTCCTTCACCTGGGGCCGGCTCTGGCCTTATTTGGCGCAGTGGTATGGGGCGGACTGGACTCCGCCTGAGGTCGACGCGGACCAGTATCGGGTTATGAACCTGCCCTCCCCAAAGACTCCACGCGGGTAAGTCTCCCTGCATTTACCCAATTGGAACCGCGTGAATCTAACTCATCATAGTTACGGCCCGCAAACCACCCTGCGCTCCACATTCAGCCTCCTGGAATGGTCCCTCCAGCCACATGTTGAAGCGGCTTGGAGGGAGTTGGCTAGCCAGCACGACCTTGTCCTGAACCCCTTTGACGACCATTACCGCGCTCGCATCTTTTCCTTTTCCGACTCGGCCGTCATCGGCGACGCTCCCATGACCACGAGCGTGCGCAAGGCCCGGGAGATGGGCTTTTTTGGCACGGTCGACTCGTACCATTCTATTTTTAACTCGTTCTGTGATCTGGCAAAGTTGAAGCTCATCCCAGCTCCAGCTGTGGACGATTTTGTGGCTTGATTGATATTAGTTTGGTGGAATTTCGGCACATGGCTGGCGGTTTCGGATGTCATATCGGCCAGCTGGGAGTGCGGTTTCGGGTGTCATATCGGCCAGCTGGAAGCTGGAAGGATTGTGTTATTTGGAGCTTTTATAATTTCATGATTTTAGGAAGGATGGGATGTAGTCCGGAGTCCTGAGCGTTTGCTTTTTATCTCTAGTTGCTCTGGTAGCTCACTAAGATGTTGCTCACCTTTTCGCTGAGGTTGCAATCTTGCATTGTTCTCATGGCCTATTAAGTGAAGGCGAGAGGTGACACTGCCGTGACAGAAAGTTCCAGAGCCGCCCAAGCAAAGAAAAGCATCCCACAATGATTATGACAGCAAGATATGGGGCAGGAAGCCAAAGTTTGGGTGAAGTGGATGCTTATTGCGTATGGGCGTCAATGGCTTTATGTGCAAAGACAGTCAAGCAGAGTGGTGGGCGGCGTTTGGTGATGCGGGACCCAGCTTCGAGATTGCCCGTGAGACTTAACACCTCCGAAGCCCACTAGATGTGAGAATGGAACTACCAGCATAAGCAGCAAGTTGTCGGGTTTGTGACACGGTATGGGAAACTTAGAGTGCGTGATAACGTAGTTAGCAAACGCAGACACAAATACAAATACGTCGACAAGAGATTGCAAGTCAGTTATGAAGCCCACCCCACCACGCATGCCCACACAGAGGGCAGTCAACAAACACCTGCATCGTACATTGCAAGATCCGCCATCACAAAAAAAGACAAGCAAATATCTCACGCCCACATGCCAATCATCAGCTCAGTCACATTACCCCTCAAGCAAACCATTGAACCCACCACCGTGGGGGTGCAGCCAGCCCATTTACCACCGGCTTTTTAAACGAACGTCACGTAACCTCTGAACATGTCAACAAACTCCGGATCAAAGTCGGCAACCCAGTCGGGTTCATTGCTGCTGCCCTTCTTGGGCTGCTGCTTATCGGTATTAGCGTTCCTGACTGCGTCGGTTTCCTTTCCGGTCTTGTTTGGAGGCGACACAGCGGGGTCGGCCCCCGTCGAACTACTCGGCAACGGGTCCGAGATCATCCCAGGAGCGTCATCAGCGGAAATGACTGTACTCGAACTCCCAGACGTATTTCGTGATCGCGCCGTTGCTGTCATACCACCGGGGGTGGCATGGTCGGGAGAGCTGGTGGCGGTATCAGTGAACGGTCCGCGTTGTCCTTGGTACAGAACTTCGTCGCTTGCTCCTGATTTGAAAGCGGCTTCTGTGGCTGGGGCGATGAGTTTGTTGTTTGAGGGAATATTATCTTGAAGGAACGAGAACTCCTGATCATCCAAATCGTCGTCCTGGTAATCACTTTGCCGAGTCACCGCTTTCGCAGCAGGCCGGCTCTCTGTGTGTGTTGGTTCCGCGGTTTGGGCATGGCCTAGGGCTTCTTTCCCCTTTGTGATCGAGGCGTTAGCATCACTCCCATGGCTTGTAACAACAGCAACTCCCAGCGGTTGGAATATGTCGTCGTTTTCGTCATCTGTGTATGAAAGGTCAATACATTCCAGGGCCAGGTCGTCAAAACCGGCAGGGTCCCAGTCGTTCTTTGGCGTCTTGGTAAGGTGTCTAGGATCAGGGGCTAGTGTGGTCCGGGTGAATGATGGCGCGGCATCTATCTTCTGCCGTTTTGCTCCGTTTCTCACTGAGAGCTGCAGTTTCTGTTGCGGTTGCCTCTGCGAGGGCCAGAACTGGGATTGCGTTGTGCTGGGTAGATCACCCATCGGTTCCTCTGCGTTTCTTTTCGGGCGCTGCAAAGGTCGCTTGCGTGGCTTGTCAAGGCCGTCCTTACAACACCGATGACCGCAGGGCTTACCGGATCTCGTGAGCGCTCCCCCAGCACAGGGGTGGTTGCACCGCCATTTGCCGTTTGGCAGCCGAATGGGTTCCCGAGTGGCCATTTGCGTGGAGCCCATCTCTTCCTCGTCATCACGATCTCTCAAATGGTCGTCAGAGTTGTCAGCCGAGAGTGAACAACTCATCTCCACCAGCTCCTCGACCGATGAATAGTCGTCCAAACTTTGTTCCGGGGCGGTTTCAGCTTTTTGCTTTCCTGATGTTTGAACGACTGCTTGTTCGGCAACTAGAATGAGGTCCGAATCATCAAGCCCATCGTTATCACTGTACTCTTGGCTGAAGTTTCCATCTGCCGGAACTTGGCGAACTGGGAAGACGGACGCGGGCAACTTGTGCTCGACAGTCGTTGACACAATTGTTCCAACAATCTCTTCACAGCTGAAGTGGCAGAATACGCGATCTTTCACGTGTCGTAGTCCAACCGAGAATTTGAGCTCGAAGCCCGCCTGCTTGTCGAGCTTTCTGATACTCCCACGCCAAAAGTACGCCAGAGTTCCGTTATCAGTCTCGGCGAGGAAGGTCAGAGCCGGCATGCGGTTTGACCAATTCGGCGGGCCCTTGCGGTTTAGATACCGTAGCGTTGCCTTCACTTCAATAAGAACCGGGTCGTCCGACTTTGGGTGAACTCGATGGCCAACGACTGCAGCTTCCACAGCTAGGCGGGGGAACTTGTCAAGCTGATCCTGCAAGTTTTTCCCGAAGGGCGGCTGCCGGGACATCAAACGCTCAAGCTCGCCGTAATCTTTGTCCGCCAGTTGTAGAACCGTGCGTATGTCCTTGCTGGCGAGCTTTCTCATCCCCACAGGGCCGATGCTGGGAACTTGGGTGAGCTGTGTGGGACGTCCCTCCCAGGACTGGGCCGCGAGTGCTCTGGCCAACTCGAGTGCCGTCTTGGTCCCGATGGAGTCGCGGTCGTAGCCCTTGCAGTCAATGACGGCTCGAACTAAGCGGTTTAGTCTCTCAAAGATCAACTTTCGCTCGACCATGAGCTGCCGTCTCATTTTCGCCGCGCCGCTTGAGTCCGGATATTGAACACATCCCAGGTGCGCCTGGATCACGATGGAAACCTTGTGCTGTGTCTGGGTCACTGTTTCCTTAATTGGGTACATTATCAGGGGCGATTGGTTGATCTCCCGAAAGAGCTGCCTCTCTGCCTGCTTGAAACGAAATTCTTTGAACTCACAAGCTTGGGACAGGACCGTGATCTGAGACGTTAGCCACTAATACTACGATGGGCAAGGACACGAAATCTTACCAAGCCCTCCATTCCCACACCACGCGGGATCTGTAGCAGCAATTTCATCGTTTGGAATTCGACCATGTACTTGGACATTGCGCGCCCATATTCGGTGCAGTGAAAAGAGTCCTGATCAGTGACAAGTTTCGTTTCTTGAAGTTGTTTTATGTCACGCTCGCAAATCTCCTCCAATCTGTCATCAACCTCAGAAGGATTGGTTGTTTCACCCGTGAGCCGGTAGTAGTTGGGATTGCGCCTGAGTCTGACGCTCAGGAAAGTTCCGCCGAGCCACGTTTTGGCGGATGGCAGGTTGTGGATGGTGCCTAAGCAGATCTCCGAGTTAAGATGCTCAATCAGGTTGAGGTGTAACGTGCTCTCGAGGATTTCTTGGCCCGAGACCATTTTCTGGTAGCGTTCCTTGTTTGCAGACCGGGTCAGGATGATGGCAGTTGCACTGTCGTCGAACTGGGGTCGTCCTGCACGGCCGAGCATCTGCATGACCTCGAGGTCGGAGTACTCCTTTAGCTGATCGTCTGCAAATCCCACGGTTCCCTTGAGGACGACGGTATGGCAGGGTAGGTTGATGCCAACAGCCAAGGTGGAGGTACAGCAAATGACCCCCAACTGACCCTTCAGAAAGTTCTGCTCAATAGTGGCCCGGTCTTGGGGATCGAGGCCAGCATGGTGGAAAGCGACACCAAATCTGACAATCTCTTGCAGCTCCCTGCTGACAACTGGGACACGCTGCGTTGGAACGGGCCACATGTCGTTGCCGTCAGGTCGGTCAGACGCAAAATCTGCTAGCATTGCTGCGGTGCTCTCGCACGACTTTCGCGTGAAACAAAAAACGAGGATTGGCTTCCCTCGAGCATACTTGGATATCAGCCCCGGTAGTTTTTGATCCAGAAACTTGTCGAAGATGAAGTCGTTGCTGTTGCTCCCAAAGCCATGGACAAACTTTTGAAGCTTGACCGGTCGGAATTCCTCGCCGAAAGTCTCGCGGTGGGCGGGAAGTTGTTGAGTTGTGTGGTTCCGGCCCAGCCATCTTGCGATGTCATCGGAATTGGGCACAGTTGCGCTGAGGGCAATGAAGCGTACATTCGCCCCAATCGTCTTCATCCGCGACACCACGGCCTCCAGAGTTGCGCCGCGCACGTCCTTTAGAATGTGAACCTCGTCAATGAGGAATAACTCAACCATTTGCAGCAGCCTGCGGTGATCCTGCCACTTCCTGGTGATGGAGTCCCATTTTTCCGGGGTGGTGACGATGATGGAAGCGTCGCCAACACGCCGCATCTCAGCTTGTGAAGTATCGCCAGTGAGCTCGGCGCATTTGAGGTTCATGTGGCCAAATTTCTTTTCCCAGTCACGAGCCTTTTCTGAGCAAAGAGCTTTGGTCGGAGCCTGGTAAACAATCTTGAAGTTCTCGTTTCCTCGGTCAAGAGCCAGCTTGCAGATGGCGAGCTCGAGGATTGCCGTTTTCCCGCTACCAGTTGGTGCAGCGATAACAACATTGTCATTGGTGTGGTATATGGTATGGAATGACTTTGACTGAACCGCATTGAATAGTTCGTACGGAAAGATAGCCCGAAATTTGTCGGGCAGGGCCTGGCGTAGGCTAACGAGGGGAATGTCGTGAACAACAGGAGTTTCAATACGGGGGTCAGTTTGGCTTGATGGAGTGGGCTGGAACCCGGTGTGCGGTGGCCTGTCAAGAGAAACCGAAGCATCCTGTCGTTTCCGGACACTTAATCTAGCGGTAGGACTCGAACTTCCGGACATGTGTAAGTTGTTCGTATGAAATCCGCCGGGTTGTGAGACTTGAGAGATTTGATCTGGCGGCGCTGCTGAAAGTTAGCGGAATGACCTGGCAGAGGGAAAACAATTGTTTATCTGACCGGGACGCAACAAGCGAGTTCCAACTTGCCACGCACGGGGTGTTTCTCGGTTGAACTGTTGTGCCGGTTCGTATCTTAAGTTGGTGTTTGGTTGGAAGTAGCGTTGGCTACTTCCCGGTATTGTTCTGCTCAGAGGTCCCAATTCGAAAGATGGGCTCGGAAGAAGGGTGGCTTCGTAGTACGGCTCATGTCTGCCGCGCGGAAGAGCGATATGTGAGGAAGCAGGCGTCGGAAAATACCCGAAAGTTTCTCTGCGGTTAGACACCTGCTTGGGATGCCGGGCGAGCAATGGCGTTTGCCCGAGGAGGTCCCGGTCTGAGTTGCGTTAGCATCCCAATTATACTTTGCAACTATTCGGAGAGAATAACGAACCAAAATCGTCTAAACCATCGTCGTATGGATCCGCCATGGCGGCTCGCCGTCGATAAACGGTAACCTAGGACAAGAGCAATGCCTGTTAAATGCATCCAGCCAAGCGGAGAAGAAGCTGGTGGCCGGAACTAAGGTGTCGTGGAAAAGAGAATTGCGAGTGTCACCTCCTCAAGGCGCCGTGGAATGCTACCAGTTCTGAAGCTGCAGGCAGCGGTGCGGGCTGGGTGGTTCCTTCCTCCTCTCCCGTTGACATCCATGGTCTTACTTTGCACTTCTTCCATCCCTCCAGCACTCCGCTGCTCAACCGGCGCAGTAAATCACATTTGCGAGTGATGGCTCTACGAGATAGGTACCTAATAAAGTACCGTGGTAAGGATCAGCTTTGTAGGCGGGTTTTGCGAACCATCAAGATGCCGGGTGGAGAGAAGGCATTGGCAAAATCGGGTATAGCGCTGCAAAGAATCAGGATTACAAGACTGTGTCGCTGATGCTCCCGATATGTCCATGGTGCGCTGGCTTAACAGTTACCGTTAAAAGACTTTGCGCCCTTTGTCTCGCTAATGAAGAGAAAGTATTACATACGGAGTTGCTCTACTGCCATTCGTCAATAGTACCGCCACAGCGTTTCTTTGTCAACCGGTCCGACAACCAAACAAGCCAGCATCCCCCGCATCATTTCAAGCTCCGCCCCGCGCGAAATAGCAACTGTTGACTTCACCATTATTTTACTGTTGCATAGTATCCCTTTTTTCTCGACAAGAATCCTCATCGGAACCATGTCTGCTGAATACAATGAATCCAAGCGGAAACGGTGGAAGAAGCGGTGGAAGAAGTTCTTCGGGTCTCGTGCAGCCTCGCCGGCTCCGTCTGCCACGCTGTCGACGGGTACGTTTAGACTCTGCCTCCCATCGCAAGGCTTCTCGTAATTGACATTCTCCGGCAGACATTTGGTCATCCGATCAGGGAAATGCAGAAAACGGATTGACAGCGTTTTCCTTTGTTGCGACAGATTTATATGCTCCTCCCTCCCCGTCTGCCGCAGCGGCGAAGGCCGCCCAACCCCGGACAAGTCCGAGAGCCCCCAACGATCACCAACCACACGCGGCATCGCAAACACTGCCTCCTGCTCTGGCCGCTGAACCCGCACCCAAACCTCCGCCGACCGAATGCACAGAGCCACCGACCCCTACCCTTTCTGTGTCCGAGAGACTGTGGAACCGCGCGTACGACAGTCTTGAGATGGATAATGCAGAGCTTGTCATATCATACCTGAAAACGTTGGAAAAAGTTCTCGGAGCCAACCCAGGTGTTGCCCCTAACACCAACATCTTGGCCGAGTTCCATGACCCGACTAAACGACAGATGCACATGAGGAGGCTGGTGGAGGAAGGCAGAACGAAAATTTCCACGGCGTCCAAAAATCACGAGCGGTGTAGGCGGCGTCGCCGATATCGTCCTGTCGGTTAATTGACCTGGCTGTCCAAGCGTGCCGCAGGCTGCGCTTCCGTGGGCAGGTGTTTGCGTTAGGCTGCAAGTAAGCAGGCATCCTTCGAATACCCCTATGTGCCTGGCTCTGCTAATATGCCTCCAGATTCTCCAGAATCCTGCACGAGCGACGAAATCTAACCTCGCTGGTATCGCCCATGTCATCTCCAGGATGGACTGGTACTGCGCCCCCACCGAACATCCCCTGAACAAGAACAACATTGCCGGCGGCTGCGACGTGCAGGCAGTCTTGCACCAGCTAGAGGGGACAGTCGTCGAGCTCTACAAGGCTCTTCTCCTGTACCAGATGAAGAGTGTTTGTTCTTACTATCACAACCAAGTTCTCGTCTTTCTTCGCGGGATGCTGAATTTGGATGATTGGGACGGCGATCTGAAAGGCGTTACAGCCACGTCGATTGCTCTGGATAAAAGGATACGCCGGTACGGGCGAGACGATGCTCATGATCGGCCTCATTCGCCAACTCTCGCACCAACCTGTTGCTCTATCACCAGCACTTTCCTTCTTCTTCTGCCAAGGCACAGACACAGCCTTGAACAACGCCACCGTCGTCCTCAGGTTTTTGATCTGGCTTCTTCTTCTTCAGCAGCCATGCCTTATATCCCATCTACTCCAGAAGTACAAAGATTCAAGCGCGGATCTCTTCCGGGATAAAAATGCCTTCATCGCCCTGTCCGACGCGTTTCGGAATATGCTGAAGGATCCCAAGTTGTTTCCTGTATACCTCGCGGTCGACGCACTTGATGAGTGCGCGCAGGGTCGATCGGACCTCTTCAGTCTCATTTCGACTTCTCTCAACCTCTCTCAGAAGGTGAGATGGCTGCTCTCTAGCCGCCCAGAAGTTGACCTTCTCTCTGAGCTCAAGGATCCGGGCACCATCTCCCCAGACGCTTCTAAATCCCTTGTCGAGCTGGACACCCAACGTCTGGAAGATCCTGTCAACGCATTCATTCATTACAAGCTCAACACCCTCAGACACAGACAAGGATACAATGACAGGGTCTTGGCTGAGGTCTCCCGTGAAGTCCGCGGACGGGCAAAGAACACTTTCCTCTGGGTGGTTCTCGCGTTCAAAGTTCTCGAAACAGTGCACGGAGGGTACGCTGCCGAAATCATCACAGAGATTCCTCCTGGCTTGTCGGAGTTGTACGATCATATGATGACCAGGATTGAGGGAGGCCACATCATCAAGCCCCGGGATTGTAAGACAGTCTTGGTGGTTACGTCTCTTGCCTTCCGACCGCTGTCTATCCCCGAGCTTTCCGTACTTGCCGACTTGCCATCGGACGTTGCAGAGACGGCTATCGAGATGTGCGGCTCATTTCTCACAGCCACCAAGGGAACCGTCAATTTGATCCACCAGTCGGCTAAAGACTACCTGACGAAGAATTACAAGTCCAGACTTCAACTAGCTGGGGCCGGTCAAGGGCATAGCGACATTGTCAGACGCTCAACTGATGCGACGTCCTCAATGCTAAAACGCAATATATACGACCTCGATCACGGCTTCAAACCGGAGAATATGGCACCCCCTGATCCAGATCCGCTCGCTCCAATACGATACTTGTGTGTCTTCTGGGCCGACCATCTCTACTCCCTGAACAGCGACAAGGCCGGGTTCCTGGGCGAACTGACAGACGACGGGAAGGTGTTTGGGTTCCTAAAGAAAGGGTTCCTACGCTGGCTTGAGAATTTGTCTCTTATAGGGAAGCTTTCTAGTGGGCTGCTCTCGATAAGAAATATTCTATCTGCCGCTCAGGTATGCTATCAATGCTGTATCATTTTTAGGTTACTAAATCCAGTTAGGCGCAACCGGAGATTAGCCCTTACCTTCTTGAGTTCTTGAAAGACGCAGAGAAGTTCATATTTAGTCACAAACCGATCATAGAACGAGCCCCCTTACAAACATACGGCTCTGCGCTCGTATTCAGTCCAACTTTGAGCGCGATTAGAAATCGGTATTGGAAGGAAAGGTTGTCGGGCTCTGGGATATGGCGACTGGTATATGCCGGCAAACGCTCGAGGGCGGCACGGTCAACACAGTAGCGTTCTCGCCGGACGGCAAGATGCTCGCGTCGACTTTGACCAATAAGGCGATCCGGCTCTGGGATACGGCGACCAGTACGTGCCGGCAAATACTTGAAGGGCATAGCCACCGGGCCAACACAGTAGCGTTCTCGCGGGACGGTGAACATCTCGAGGCAAACCGAGGGCTGCTGAGTCTAACCGGAAATTTCGAAACTTCAAGCAGCTCTGGAGGCCAGAACCTCGCTAGTGGTTTTATCTTTGTCGACGACGATTGGGTTATGATAAATAGGAAGCGTGTTGTTTGGCTTCCCGCTGACTATCGGAAAAGATGTCTGGCGGTTCGTGATGATACACTCGTCCTAGGACATGACTCTGGCCGAGTGATGTTCTTTCGGTTTGCTTTTTAGAGTCATAGATTTTCTATAATCGCTGTAATACCTCAGATATTTTATTATCTGTGCTTAAGTGAAGCCTGGGAGTCGTATATGCTTTATATGATTTGCTTTTCGCGCCTGACGTAATTCTTATTGACGCTCCTTGCCACTTACCTAAAGTTTCCCGCCGGTCCTCGGCCTCGACAAGGTGTGACGTAGTTGCAGCAAGACAATATATTTATCCGGGACAGAGAGGTGCAGATTTGATATAGCGCGTGACGAAGCGGAATGATGCGCCATGATCATCCGAGATGACCTTCAGTACTGGTTCAGGCCTGATAAACCAGCAAATGCCAGGCCAACACCGGAAGAAAGCCATTACGTAGCCGCAAGATCCCAGACAGTGTTCACAGTAACCGAGCCGTAAAGGCGCTCATACTTGTCAAGCGCCTGTGTCTCCGCCATGTGCTTGTTAAGGTCCCTATGTCTCGTCCCACTCCTCCGCAGACCGGGGTGAAGGGAGCGCCGAAGGAATCAAGGTCGTTCTCGACAGGGTTATCTTTGATGATTTTGGATCGCGGTTGGCCGGCCATGTCAGCCGGGCTGAGCAAAAGAGTGTTGGCGATCACCTCAATCAATCTAGAGTAGGTTCAATGGGAAGTAAGTTGGTGGACTCAACGCTGCAAGCGGTTAGACACCGCGAATGGGGAGGCGACACTAGAGGTCGAACTCTGTAGGAGGAGTTCCTTTATTCGCGGCAACATGATCAACCTTGGGCAGCGGGCGTCAACAATGGAGCATTGGGCGGCGTGGGCAGCTGTACAGTTCTTAACCACCATCTTCGGAAGTCTTCCTCGACCCAAATAGCAAGCCACTGAATGGCTATACAGACCTGGTAACATTCTTACACGGTGTGCGTGTCGCCGATACTTATCCCCTCATATCATGGTCTTTCCATCATAGCGATACGCAAAATCCACTCGCCATATATTACCGTATACGAAGATGATGGGGAGGACGGGTAGTTGGTGGCCCGGGTCGTGGCCACGGCGCTCGATGACCCTTGCAAGCTGTCGGAAGTAGGCGCGCACCCAGTTGGCGAGCTGCACTATTAAACGCTCGATTGGAAATTTTAGTCTCGATGCTAATCGCTGGCGGGGTCGGAATGAAGTCGCTGAGGGTGAAGTGGGCGAGGTCCGAGAGGCGCTCGGAGAGCCCGTCGCCTCCTCGTACAGGTTGGAGGAAGATGCCGTAATCCACCTACTTCTCCATTAACTAGCACAACGTCGTCGTCGTGGAATACCTTGAGTATACGGTACAGCACGATCATGGATGTTCCGGAAGTCTATGGCATCCAGGCCCTCGAAACCTTGCTCCAGGACATGGCAATGTACCAGATCGTTCCACGCGCGCTCGTCTTCTATTTTATCCTTGACTCGAGTTCGGTAATGTTGATGCGGGCAACAGCCTAGTCGAGGGTGCGGCGAAATGTAACCTCTTTCTTGCGAGGACTGCTTCTTCCTGATCGCGATGTGCCATTGGTGTCGGCGGTGTCGGTGGATTAGGCCGCGTTCAGGGTCTGATATCGACCTGGATGTGGACGATGACAAGTCAGATAGGTAAGTGGCATGACGTGTGGCAACCGGCTCTCAAGGCGGCAGAGGACTTGCTGTCGGTGTCAGGGGAGGGGAAGAGGGGAGGGAGTTAAGAACTTGAAAAGTTACTTGCGGAACGTGACCCAGTGGTCGTCGTCGGTCTCGAAGACCCGCAGCCGCATGATGAGGCGCTTCATACCGTGCTTTCTCCGCCGGCTGCAACATTGGCCGTTCCCGGGATCAACTACGGCGGGGGTCCGTGCGGCCTTGTCCGAGGCCGATGTGTCGAAGGCGACCGACAGCCGTTTTCCCAGCGGCAATGCACGGATTGCGCGGGGCGTTCTCAGCTTGTCATCGCCCCGTATTGTTTGAACATCCGAAAATGGCGTCCCTGCCCTGCGTGTACCGAACCCGGCGGCCAGAACAGCACATTTCATACTTAATCTGTAAAGCAGGTCGCAGGATCATGTGTCTGTTAACGAATATCTACATTACCACAAATGCAAGAGTATCCCAGCCCCCGTGGTCCAGAATCATCAGTTCTGTCACCACTTCACGATTTGAACCTCGGACCCCCTACCCGACGAAGTCGGCGGGCCATTCTTGGTTCGGAGCTCCGGACCCGCCAAGACCGGGTGCCTGGCTATCGCGGTCCCCGCGACCTGGGAGGCCCGGAAGCAACCGAATTTTAGAATAAAGATCAGACATTGCTAGACAATGATTTTCTCCTCATTGCCCCCGATCCATTTTGCCTGAAGAACGGCATGAAGGGTCAGATTGGCAATTAGGAGAAATGAGAACCTCTCTCATTAAAGTTGCGAGCCCGGCGAGCGCTCCCATCCAGTCGCCTCGGTCGATACCTCAGTCGCCGCTTGTGCGCAACGGGAAGGAGCACAGCCGGCCTGCTGGGCGACCCATCAGACAGCTGAGGCGGGCTTGGCACGTGCAGCACACCTGTCCATTCAGGCAGGTGTTTGGCCGCAACGTGCTGCTGAGGTGCTGGAAGCGTGGGCCAATCAGGGCACCGAACCCCTGAAAATCGCCAATTGCGGTACCGACCGAAGATAGCGAGTGCAACGCTGAGCGAGCGGAAGCGGCCTGTCCTGAACCACCCTGTGCTCGATGCTTCCCGCGCACGTGGGACCAAGAATCACGGTGGCACATTTTGGTATATCTATGTCGCCGCGCCACAACACGATCGCCATGGAAGGACACGCTGTGTCACCCCGCCGACCCTTTCAACCCCGCACAGCCCGTCATGAAGCCAACCCCGGTGTTCTGGGCTTTTGCCAGCCTGCAGTCGCTGGTCACAGCCCTCTCCATCGCCGAAATCAATGGCAACACCTTCCTCTCGCCGTTTTCGGGGCAAACAGTCACCAATGTCACCGGTTTGTTGATTGCCAAGGGACCCAATGGCGTCTGGATTCGGTCGACGACCCCCGACGACGATGAGGCCACTTCGGAGGCCATCTACGTGTTCAGCAGCAGTGTCGGAGCGAATTTGACTGTGGGCGACATCATTTCCCTGGACGGCAAGGTTACCGAATACCGGTCGAACGCAAACTATATCTACCTGACCGAGATCGCCTCTCCAAAAAATGTGAAGTTGGTGTCGTCCGGCAACGAAGTCAAGCCCCTCGTTATTGGCAAAGACACACTCTCACCTCCTACGGTGCAGTACAGCGAGCTGGATGGAGGCGACATTTACAATCTTCCTAACGGAGTCGCCAACATATCCGAGTTGAACCCTGTGCTAGATCCGACCAAGTACGGTTTGGATTTCTGGGAGAGCCTCAGCGGCGAACTAGTCACTGTCAAGGCACCGCGGGCTATTAAGACGCCAAACAAGTACGGCGACACCTGGGTAGTTGGTGACTGGGAGATTACGGGGGAGAATGAGCACGGCGGCATAACAATGTCAGACAAGGGTACGCCTATTTCTGGATGTTGGTGACCATGGGAATTGCACACACTTACCCATCCCAGACTCCAACCCCGAAGTTATTACGATTGGCTCGCCCCTCGATGGCACCAAGAACCCTACCGACTCCAAGATGGGCGATCGATTCGAGGATATCACGGGTGTTGTCCAGCAGACCTTTGGCTTCTACGCGATCCTCCCCCTGACCGCCCTAAAGACCACTACCGCTGCCTCAGCCGCCGCCCCTCCCACTACGCTCGTCAGCCAGGGCAAATGCAAAGCCCTCACATTTGGCAGCTACAATGTCGAGAACCTCGCCCCGACTTCCGCCCATCTGCCCAAGGTTGCCGGCCACATTGTCGATTATCTCAAGACGCCCGACCTAATGTTCATCCAAGAAGTCCAAGATGACAGCGGGCCGACAGACGACGGCGTGGTTACAGCCAACGCCACCCTCACCGCCCTAGTAGGCGCCGTAAAGTCCCTCAGCAACGTCACGTATGCCTTTGCTGAGGTCGAACCCGTCTCTAACGAGGACGGCGGCCAGCCGGGCGGCAACATCCGCGTGGCGTACATCTACCGCCCCGAGATAGTGAGCCTGTACAAGCCCAACCAGGGCGGAGCCAATGACGCAACTGAGGTGGTGGCGCAGGGCAAGGGCAATAATTCCCAAAGCGCGCCAGTGCTCTCGTTCAATCCGGGCAGGATTGACCCCGCCAACGCGGCGTGGAAGGCTAGCCGCAAGCCGCTGGCTGCTGCGTGGATGGCCAAGGGATCGAAGAAGCCGTTTTATACAGTTAATGTTCACTGGTCGAGCAAGGGTGGCGGCACCTCGCTTCATGGAGATCGGAGGCCGCCTATCAACGGGGCGGTCGACGCGAGAATGGCGCAAGCCAATGTCACTGGTGTAAGTTCGAATCATCGTTACGAGCTAGCCTGCTGATGCTGACGAAAACAGTCGTTCATTGCAGAGATCCTGGCCTTGGACCCCGCGGCAAAGGTGATTGCTGCGGGCGACTTCAACGAGTTCGCCTTCGTGCAGCCGATGAAGACATTCTCAGCTATCTCGGGGATGGTGGACCTAGACGAGGCCGCCAAGCTCCCCATTGAGGAGCGATACACCTAGTAAGTTCCCCAGGAGTAGCGGAAACCGTAGCAATGACGATGAAGCTGACCATGAACAGTGCCTACGACATGAACGCTCAAGCTCTTGACCACATGTATGTCAGCCCGGCCCTGGCACACAGCAAGACCACGCGCTTCGAACACATCCACGTCAACTCGTGGGCAGCTTTTGATGACGTGGTGTCGGACCACGATGCTAGCATTGCTTTGTTCAACGTATGCGGCTGTTGATGCCGGGGTGCGGGGTGGGTATAGATGGAGGTTCGAATTGGCATGTACAACATACGTCTAGCCTACAATGAAATTAACCACAGTTTCTAAAACGTTTGGACGACGGTCGAAGTAAACCCCGTTACTCGCAAGACGTGAATACTCGCCGAGCGAGATATACGCAGCAACGCAACACCCGGAGACGGCTGGGCTCTAGTCCTGGGTCACTTTGATCATACGACAAGGAACAGTGGGAAAGAGTAGCCCAGTATATTAAATGATATCCAGTCAGTCAGTCTCAATAGGTAGGATGATAGTGAGTGCAATGTAGCATTGTATTAGACTACAGGTTGTGGTTGTGGGTCACGTCACCGAATTGATCATGATGTCATCGATGTGATTACTGACCATAACACACAAAGCAGGACGACATATTTGCCTGCACCACTTATTTGCGACACACCTTTGGCCATAACCTCTAGTTCATCTGATCAGTCGAACTAATTTATCAAACCTCCCAACATCGACGCCACAATGAGAGTCTCAACAGCCCCCCTCTTCCGCACCAGCCTCCGCCCTGCCTTCGGACAAGCCCACTGCATCCGGCCTATCCAAAGCAGGCTCGCCACCACCAGCTCGGGCGCCGGTCCGGAGCGGGAAGTAGGGCATAAGGGAACTGCCAAGGAGTACAACAAGGACGGCACAAACCCCAACAAGAATGTCATGTAAGCAATCTGGCCGAGCGGGATTTATGGAGTGACTGGTATTGATTCGTGAACAGGTACGCAGGCCTCGCCGCGCTCGGACTCGGGGGAGTATATGCCATGTTTATGGCGCGGCCGGAGAAAGTTGGAGAGAAGGCCAAGGCAAATTCACCCGCGGCTCGTTGATGTGTTTGAAGGAGTGTGTTACGGAGCAGGGTTGCGCTGAAGGCGTGACGTTAGTTGTTTGTTTGCTTCACGTTGTAGCTGGGTTGTCAATTGAAATGTTGTTTTATATTCTTGCGCCATACGATATCAGCGTTTGCTCCTCTGTGACCCCTGCCTCCTTTACGCCTGGTACTCTTATTTGTTTACATTAGCCTCAAACTGACCCTAAGTAAATGCCCCGACATCGTTGACTCCGAATTATCCGCGCTGTCATTTTCGTTTCAGCTCTCACGACCGTCCTCATGGAAAGCGGCACCCCTTGCATATGATGGTGAATTGCACACGGCCCGGAATAATTCCCGCATAGTAGCGTATAGAGAGCAGCTTGGTAGGTTATAATGAAGATAGACACAAGTGGGGGCGCGTGAAAGTCCCTGGATCGGGGAAAGGACAGGGCGAGCAGAGGACTCATCCGTCCTAGAGAAGTATCTTGTCCATCACTGCGTGTCTATCTAGGTAGCCACAGTTGGCAAGTTTATGGGGACTTCATGTCAGCTTAGGTAGCTCAGATTACATTGCAATTACTGCCCCTGCTAGTCTTTCCCCTCGCCGTCTTCCGCCTCCTCCTACACCAAATTCCGTCTTGTTGAAGATCTTGTTGTCCAGGGGATTGGATTTCATTATCTCCTCCATCCTTCTCCTCGAAGAAGCTTTATACCGCCTCTCCCAAGTCCCAAAGGGTTCCCAGAGTACGCGCCGGTCTGCTCTGCCGTTCATCCCCACCATCATCCGCCGAATCCAGCTTGCGTTGCACCGTTTCTCACACCTTGTCTAACACCTCTGCGCCGCCAAACTGTTCCAAGCCCTTACGTCCAAATTTATCGGCCATGAGTCCGTGAAGGTTTTCGACACATGGGCCATCCTGTTGTCGGCTTGGTGTTTTCCATCATCCGGCCCGCTTCCACCTCGTCTCTTCATCACCATCCCGCTTCCCCCTCGTCTCTTCATCATCATCCCGCTTCCACTTCGTTCTTTCGTCTAGCCGCTCGAGAGGCTCTTGGTTCTTCTTCTTGTCCCAATACCGCTTGTGCAGTGCCCTGGCCTGTGGCTCGACAAACTCCCAGGCTCGGCCCAGGACCTGGCTTACGCCAGAAGATAGGGCGATTGCGGGGATGCGTGCAAGCCCAGGCCAGGGCGAGCTCTCGAGGCCGAGCATGTTTTGAATCCAAATCTCCAACTTATAGAGTCGCCCATACGTCTGCGCGTATTTCTTCTCTGCTTTGCTGCACCTGTCGGCAAGGCGTTTCATAACCTGGGCCATTTTGTTGAACGGCTTATAGAGTTGCCACATTTGCGGCTGTGAAGTTACGCTGCGCAACTGGTTGAAATGGCTGGGGAACTGGCTCGGTGGCAACCCAAGCTTATCAGGCTCCGTTAATGGGAACTCTATGATCCGGACCACTACGGGGAGGTAACCTGGGATCTGCTGCCTCTGGTTTAGTTCGTCCAACTTATTGGATGGATCTGGTGACTCGGTGGTGAAATGCAGCAGCGCCGGTCCCCGTGTAGCCCAGATATCACAAAGAAAGCTCCTCCAGCAGGACAAGTAGTGGAAACCCGCGCCGGTCGGCGTTGGGTTGGCGTAATGATACTGCAGAAGCTCATTGAATGCACGGTCCCACTTGTCGAGCCAAATATCTTCTATGTGAATCACGCTGGGAGAAGCGTAGATAAAGTGGTGCCACGGCTGGGCCTGTTCCTGCTTCGGTGCTCTGCGGTACAACGCCTCGAGGCTGGCAAATGAGTCGATGGGAATGTTGGCCATGGCGACGTCGTCAGTGATGTCTATGTCGAAACGTTTGAGGCCGAGTTTCTCCCACCAGCGTTGAGGATCGTGCAGTTGGACGACGTAGAAGGGCTCGTGGCCGATCACTGAGGACGGGTCAGACCACGGGTCAGCCCATTGCGCGGTCTGGACATTGAACGAAAAGTGGTCTAGAGATGCGAAGTAGGTCTCGGTGAGGAAATTGGAGTAAATGACGCCTTCGATCAACCCATTGAGGAAAGGAGCGAAGTGGAAGGGCAATGTTATCAGGAAGCCCCACCATAGGAGGCGCCGCAGCGGCGGGGGCAAGTCCAAGAGGCTGCCAAACATGGCACCGACCTGCACCGAGTATCAAAAGGATGACGAAATAGCAGGTTCAAATGAATACCTGTGCAGCAACAACGAAACTCTAGATTTTCCTTTTGAGATGATCGCGGGGTTCATTAGGCAGCCGCGCACCGGAAGGGACTTTGTGGGGGCCAAACAACCATGGGTACCCTACAAGGAGTAGAGCCTGAACTGCGAATTGACCACGCACCCTCTCGAAAGAGGAGCAAGAAATCAAAAAAAGACAAAAAAAAAAGTAAAGGAAACCAAGAAAAAAGAAAGAGGTGAACAAAACTGAGCAAAAATAAATTAAATAAAAAGTAGACTTTGGGCTTCGGAATTTCCTCCAGCTGACATTTGGGTTTGGTTTTTTTGGTCACAGGGACTGGAACCTGGAAGTGGGGAGAGTCGGGGGGGCCCGACGTCAGGAACCGTGGTAGGCACCTAACAAAACCGACCCAGGGGTTGCTTGCGATGAGCTTCCCGAGCTTCCCTCTCAATGATGTTCGTTCGGGGCTGGCTGCCGAGGCTGAGAGCATTCAATCCTCCTGCGGCGCATGTGTTTCTGGCTGACTCTTGGTTGCGGCAAAATGTTGCCCAGATGCTCGGCCAAGCTGGGACCCTGCAGCTCTGCGTTGTATTTAGGTCGTGAAGGTTAGGCCTAAGCTGCTGCACAAGCCCGCTTCCCCTGCAGGAGCCGGAGCCGGCACTTTAGCGCACACGCGACACGCGCATTGGACGGAGCATTGAATTTTGGGTCAGTGACGTCGGGGAACAGTTCTTTCACCAACTTTTCACAACACTCGCAATTGTATTTAGAAGGAAGTTACCCGAGGCGGGCAACAACATCTCTGCGATTCCAATCCCATCCTCGGCACAGAAAACACCAAAGCTTTAATTACTTTCTCGCTTGCTCGCCCATCGGAGGCTCGACAATTGCAGCATGGCGGCCCACAGCCCCAAGATGGCAACGGGGCCTACCCTGCTTGGCATGCCTATGAAGCAAGCTTCATTGCTCACGGTTTGTACTCCTCTAGGCGATAAACTATAACTAGAGCTTAAGGTCCTAACATGGAGGGTGTAGTTAATGTTGCAGAACTCGGCCCTGATTCTGGTGCGTCGCCCCCCATCAAGCCGGACCCCCTTTGACCACTGTCACCACCACCACTAACACCACGACCCCTAGATTATGCACTACTCGCGGATAATGACCCCACCGGGCGACCACCGCTACTTCGCTTCGACCGCCGTTCTACTCAACGAGATCATCAAGCTCGCAATATCCCTTACCTTCTCGATGCACGAGGTCTCGAGGAGCTTGGCGCCGCAGACGCCCGTGACGGTGCTGTTCGAACAGATACATAACCAGGTGTTTTCGGGCGACGGTTGGAAGTTGGCCATCCCAGCGGTATTGTACACTTTGGAGAATACATTGCAGTACGTGGCGTTGAGCAACCTAGACCCGGTGCACTTCCAGGTCCTCTACCAGCTCAAGGTATAGCTCCCGGGGCAGCGGTCCAGAATTGTTAGCTGACCAGGGGGAATAGATCATCACCACGGCAGTCTTCATGATCGTTCTGCTCGGCCGCACCCTTGGTACTAGGCGCTGGTTGTCACTCATCATCCTCACCATCGGCGTCTCGATCGTCTCCCTACCTTCGTCAAACGCCAAGGATATGACGTTGGACATCCACGACTTTAGCGACCACTTCTTCCCGCGATCAGTACATGAGCTCGGACAGTTTGCAGGTGGGGTGGCAGAGGCTGCGAGAGAGCTCACGAAGCGGGGTATTGTTGGGCTAGCTGGCGAGCTCACAAGGCGATCTGCGACATACGAGGGTATCGCCGACGATCTGGACGGGGTCCCCAAGATGAACTACTCCATCGGCCTGACGGCGGTCCTGGTGGCGGCGATCGTTTCGGGGTTGACAGGGGTCTACTTCGAGAAATTGCTCAAGGACTCGAAAAGCCCAGCTTCGGTGTGGACCAGGAACATCCAGCTGTCATTTTACTCGCTCTTCCCTGCGCTCATCGTCGGCGTCATCATCAATGATGGGACCGAGATCGCCAAGCATGGGTTCTTCGACGGATACAACGGCATCGTCTGGACCGCCATCATCTTCCAAGCCATCGGCGGTATACTGGCCTCGCTCTGCATCAACTACGCCGACAACATCGCCAAGAACTTCGCCACCAGTATCAGCATCGTTATTAGTTTCCTCTTCAGCATCCTCTTCTTTGACTTCCAAGTCAACCTCCCTGTACGTAACCCCCACCTCGCCAAACTCACCCACCCCACTAACCCCATACCAACAACAACAACAGTTCCTCCTCGGCACTACCCTCGTCCTCACCGCGACGTACATGTACAGCCAACCCGAGCGCAAACGCGCCCGGCCCCCGCCCATCACCATCGCCGGCTACGAGAAGTCTGCCGCCGCCGCCGCCGCCGGGCCCGACGGCACCACCCCCGGGTATTCCGACTCTATGGACCGCCTGGCCGTACCTCTGGATTCCGTTGCTGCGGTCGGCCTGTCGTCGTCCTCGCGCCCGGCCTCGCCGCTTGCCTTTCATGGGCGCTCGCCGTCTGCGCGGGGGAGGCGCGCGGGGGAGTAGGACTAGCGGCGGGTGGTGTTTTGTCTGGATGAGATGATGGAGATGGATGGGATGAGTGATGAGTGGAATGGCTTTGATGACTGGGTGGGGTTCACGGGGAGGGAAAATGAGACGCCGATCGCCCACTGGTGGGGGTGGTCGCGTGGGCGCATTTACACAGCGGCATGCCGCTCGGTGCATGTGCGGCCCCCGGGGCTTGGGGCCGCGGTGGAAGCGTGAATGGGCGGGATACCAGGGATCGTCTGTGTTGTTGTTGGACTGCTGCGCTGAGCACGGTCGCCCGTTTCGGATATATCATCAGCAGGGTGGGAAGTAACCGTGCTTTACGTTATTTGCGCGGTTGGGAATAGACGTACTTGTCACGTTGCTTGTCAGTTTGACCTCGTGGACTGCCACTACCACCACCTGAAGGGCATTTTTATTGATGATGGTGACAATGCCAAGTGCCAGTACGGCATATGGCGCTTTCTATAGGGCCCGAGCGTCCACTGGCATGGAAGCTGGATCCAAGACCACGCAGCATTTTGAGTGACGGATGCAACGCCGAGGTCGATTTTCCCCGCAATCTTCCCGGGCATTTGATCCCGCGCGCCCTGTTCAGGGCCCTTGGGGCCAGATCCGGCTGCCGACCGGGACCGTGGGCATGGAGCGCGGGAAGGGGATGATGTTTGTCTTGCCTGTGGAAGGGATCGACCGGGATAACGGTGCTTGCTTGCAAGACCCAGTGGTTTGTCCATGTTGTTTTTCTGCTGCCTGTGCTTTTCGGGGCCGAGCGACCGCCCACGTCGGGGCAGGCTCCGGCGGGCCAAAAGAAAAGACAGAAGAGACAGAAGTAAAAGAAGCCAAGAAAAGAAAAAAAAAAAAAAGGTAAAAGAAAGAAAACAGATGAAGTAAAGGAAAAGAAGCAAATTAAGTTAAAGAAAAGAAAGGTAAACTTTCCTTTCGTTCCTCTCGTCGAAGGTTTCGTCGGCACTTGCACATGGAGTTAGGTACCTCGGCTTTTTGCCATGGAGCGCCAGGCGATTGGCAACAACTGCGGGCGTTGCAGGAGGCTGGAACGCATGAACTGCGTTGCTTCATCGGTGAAACTGTTTGACGCCGATACGATCCCGCACCCGAAAACGAGCGGGTTTGCACCACGTTTCGGGCCAGGTCCAATTGTCGAAACGGGCCGAGTCCTTGGTGTCTGCTGACTCGATTTCGAGTCCTTTCGACTTCTCGAGGCATGGTTAACACGGACGACTACGTTTCCCAGCCGGGCATGCCGACCACGTCAGCGTCGAGCCATGATGTGATTTCCGGCGGGTGCGTACCCCGGGAGCCGAAGCATGACGGACATTTGGCGTACCAGACTCCCAGGGAAGCCAGGACCCGAGGGCCGTGAGCCGTGGGCCGAAGCTGGTCGAGGGCTAATGCAGTGGTCACGGTCCTGAAAGAGGCCCGTGTGCCTGGTTGCTTTCGTACGTGTAACTCGGCCAAGCTTTTGGATCGCCGGCGTGAGATTGTGAGATTGAGGCATGCTTCACGGTGGAGCCGTCGTCTATGGCGCGATGGCGTCGGTTTTGGTTTTGTGGCTGCATGTCGCGCAACGACCAGCCTGACATGGCCGGTTTGATCGCAGATCATTCGGTGATTTTCATATTTTAGCGCGATTTCGGTGACCTCGTTAGCCGTTTCAAACGCAAACGAACGCTCAATTTTAGGTTTTGGGGTGGGTTTATGGCATCTCTCTCGGCAGCGAGTTAGTTGGCTAACAAGCGGAATATGGATGCTGGAAATTCGTCCAAAATATCATTGTTTTCCTCCATCCATCCAGGGCATTGGGGAGTTCGGATGAATTGCCCAATCGATAACGGCTTTCCAACCCAAGACAGGAAAGAACCGACCTCAACTCGGAGCTTTGGCCAAGCTCTCCCTCTTTTTTTTCTTCTTCGTCTGCATCGAGGCAGCTGCAGCGGATTTGCGGGATGTGGGCTGGATTCTTTTCGGATGACCGACTGACATCACTGCCACTTAACTTTTCCACCATTGCAAATTGCCAACCTGAAGAAAAGCATCGGGGGTCGTCCACCTGACCCCTGACCCCCATCCGGACCCCAGTTGTGCGTGGGATTGTTGGCAAATCTGGGGGATCGTGTTTCCGTTACCCTTGCGTGCGGCCGGCGATCGCTGGCCGATTCTCGACATGGGCGCACGAGATTGCCGGTGATCCCCAGGGCTTGAGCAGGGCTCCGTTCGGCTTGCTCCCCTCTCTCCGCAGAATGCAACTTTGGCACAACTTTGGTGCAACTTGGCGGCCACGCTGGAATGAGACACGATGATCACGGTTTCTGCACGCAACGACCCGCTGCTCCTTTCCAGACCGCTACGGCTCGAGCATCTCGAGTTACGCCGGCCACTGCGCTGCGCTGCCGGTTGCTTCCACCAAAAAGCCTGTTTCACCATCGATCGCTGGCTGGCGGCATGGGGAGAGCTTCCGTCATGGCATGGATCTATGAATGGCTTGCCAACGATGCCAGGCTTGTTGGGGCGTGTGCCATCCCTGCAGATTAACACCATGGATGAACCATCGCCTCCCGAGTGGGCCCCATCCCATTCACGATCCCTGGGCCAGCTTTGCGTCGAACCAGTCAGCGGCCATGGTCTGGTTCGTTGCACAATGCGAGGTGGCCCAATGGCTGCCGGCAATTGGGTTGGAAGCCGAATTGTCCAGTGGCCGCCCTCCAATCCCCGATCCCCAGATGTAGCGTTGCTTGTTCCCTCCGCAAAAAGAACGGAGGAGGAAGCTGACATTTCCTGCGCAGCACGAAGTAGTGTGTACTGCACGTCTATGCCAGAACGTTCCGTTTCCGACCAAAACTCTCGTCAAGCCAAATTGCGCCTGTCCTGCGCAGCTTAGGTGGGTGGAGTTCGTTGTAACCACCAGGGGTCGTGCTGATTGCCGATGCCAGGGGGCCCGGTCTGCACATGCTTGACCGGGAGAGCGGACGGGGCGTTGTTTGCTGCGGAAAACCATCTGTTCCGACCACGCAGCGGAACATAAGACGCGACATCCCGCCTGTCATGTCGCGCAGCCAGGCGGTTCCTTGCATGGGGAAATGACCACACCGTTGGGTCAACAAAACTGGGAAACCCTTTTCTCGTCAACTGGACAAACGCGCTATTGGGTCCCGGAAGCGGTCGGCGGTGCTGAACGAATGTGATTGCCGAAATCTCCACCGCCAGTTGAGAAAACACCACACCACCCTGCCGACAAAATCTTCCCGTCACTTCTCCAGCCGACCTTGTGTTTCCGCCTATGCCACAGCAACGGCAGTCCCGGCAACTGACGCGACGTTTAGAGACCCGGAGTGTCAGGCCGCGGTCAAGCCTGCCGAGGCCAGAATTCACTCACCGCACTGCCGGAGATGGGGCACTCCTCGAAGTTTATTTTCCCGCTCCCCGGCCGTAGAACGAAGGTAGCACCTCCCGCACCGGCAACAGGTCCCTTGACCACCAAGGCGCAGAAGATACTCGGGACTGCAGAGCTCAGCCTCGACTCACGGCCGTCACAGGTGTGGGGAACCCAGTCGAACTCGGGAATCAGCATCGCAGTGACAGAGACGACGAATGGAGAGGGCGCAGATGACACGGCTCGCGACGAGTGGCCTGGCTCTAGGGCCCTGAGGGATAGACGATGGGAGCAAGAATCGGAGATCATACCTGCAGCCTTGGGTCGTCAATCGGCAATGCTTGGGGGCTCCATGGTCCCCGACGGCGCCACCGATGCGTCAAGCCTCCGGCGGCGGCAGTCGAGCTCCACCATCACATCCTACTACGACAAGACTCAGCTACCCCTTTCGATATCGCAGCAAACCTCGAACTCGGCCATGGCCAAAGGGCTCCCACCAAAGGCCATGGCGTTGCTAGACATGGACGGCGATTTCACGGATCCGACGCAGGCCAAAAAGGCTCGGAAAAAGCCCTCCAGGCTTGACCTCTCCGCTTTGCTCCGGGGACACAGGTCCCCAAAGCATCTCCACCCAGACACTCTCAAAGCCCACCACGTTGGGCTCGAACTGTCGACCCCGTCTTCCACACTGTCAACGGCCCCGACCCCCCCGCCGGTACAACAGCGAGTGGACCGGTCCCTAAGAAAACAAACTACAAGAGAGTCGCTGCGGGAGAGCCCGGCCCAGCAAGCACCGTCTTATGACTTGGTGGGCCAACTGGGCAGCGGCAAGGAACAAACCAAGGCCAGCATGGATTTGTACAACCTCTATGACCACTACGAGCAGAGGACTTTTGCGGATGCCATGGACCAGGAGCTGCATGGCTGCACCTACCACCTTGAGCCGCCGTTAGACCGACAGGCTCCCTCTTACCCCATACCACCCGCCGAACCGTCAGGGAAAGCCCTTCTCTCACCTTTTCCGCCCACTGGGTTGCGGCCCGCTCAAGCCGCCAAACCTCCGCCGCTCACCACTGCGGAGTTGAAGCTGGCAGGTATCGGGAACCCCCCTAGCCCCGTGCCAGCCGACTGCGCGAGCGTCTCGAGCCGCCATACCAGGACGTCAAAAGCATCGAAGCGGACGGATCGCAGTCTCCAAGAGATCGACCTCCTGCAGAACAGCGTCCTCGCGCTCTCATCTGACTCAGAGGATGATTACGAACCCTCGTCTAAGGGATCCCTTGCTGTCCCGACACTGAGCGATGGGCAAACGAGTCCGACAAGCCCTCGGTCGCCGGTATCGCAGATAAGTGCATACGACGGGAACCGAGGGAAGCCTGTGAGGCACGCCAACCTCACACCAAGCCCCCAAACTTTCCCCAGTAGCCAAGGATCCACAGCACCCAAAGGCCCAAAGATTAGCCCGCGAAGCAGCTCCCTAAACTCCAAGGCATCCTCCGGTCACGGGTTGGCCCTCGAGACGTCAAGGCTCTCGACTGGCACCACTTCCACCGACCGAACAGTTTCGAATGTGCGAACCCCGGGCTCAGGCCCTGGGGTAGCCCCGACGAAGGCACTCAAGAAGGTGCGGAGCGAGTCCCAATTTGACTTCCCTGCGCCACCCACCCGCCGGGGTTCCCGATCAACATCCGTATCTCGGGTCTCGGAACAATCCCATCCCACCTCCCCTACCAGCGTGGACCTGTACTTGCAGAGCCACCGCTCCCCCCTCGCACCCGACGACGGCTCGATCCGCAGTGGCGCGAGCTTGAGCAGCGCAGCGAATGGGCGTCGCAACAGCGCGGCCAGCAGCATCCACGACAGCAACAGTGGGAGGTTTATGGCGGTAACAAGGCAGGAGGAGATGCTTCTGGCGGCACTGAGGATGAAGCGTGCGCGGATGCGGGAGGATATCATTGCCGAATTTGAGGATGACATGGACCGGGACGAGCATCACGACCTCAGGCGGGAGGTAACCAACGACAGCATCGGCACCAGTGGCAGCATGACGAGGCAGTCTTCGCGGAGCACCATACGCCAGGAGCCGGGTGCGCTGAGCGCACGCCCACGACCACCCCCGGGCGAGATGAAAGCTACCGAGAAGCCGACGAGGGGGGATCCGCTGAGGATCACGATAGACCGGTCGCCGTACGACGCCTCGCTTCGTACGCCGGCTTCGGAGATTAGCGATTTCATTCACTTCGACGGAAGCCGCAGCCCGCAAAGTGCCGGCGGGCTGGAGCGGAAAGACAGCAGAGCGAGTTCGATCAGCAGCCAAAGGTCCGCCTCAGTGAGGCAGAGAGCTTCGCTGACTGCCACGACAGCACCCGCGCCGCGAAGGTCGCAACGGAGCGGTAGCACGTCACGGAGGAATTCCGGGCAGTTCAGCCCAAATGGGCAAAACGACTTGCCGCACCAAATTCTGGAGGACCCGGCAGAGGACGACGACGCCGGGATTCCACGGCCCGACTCGCCCATCTCGCCGTCCGATTTCCCAACGCCGTTGTCCATCAAGCACAACAAGCAGGTGCGGTTGAGCGCCGTCGGCTTCTACAAGCCGAGCACCGAGACCAGGTGGTGAATCCGGACTACGCCTTGACACGAGCGACAGACATCGCGATTTCCTTTGTTATCAACAGCGTGGCGCACCAAAACTGGGTGGCGGCACAGTCTTTACAGCGCACGGGGTCTTCCTATTGACGTGGGAAAACGGGAGTAATGCGGAAGAGCGGACAGGTTTGGATACGGACAAGGGCATGATCTGACGACTGGAAGGCCCAACTGATACACTCGCTTCATTCATGCCGGCCCGGGGCAGGCCCGCCGGGACAAGACTTGGAGATAGACACTTATACCTTTGTAATCGGCCGACCCGACGAGGCATGCGACGGCATGTCCGCTACACTACACTCTAATCAGATTCTTCACCGTTTGTCCTGCAATTGCAAGTGAGAGTGGGGTTTGGCTGATCATGGGGAAATGTCCAAAAGTTGATGGTCGCACAACACTCGCAGGATATCATTTGGCAAACAAGCAATAACTAACAATGCCGCCAGAATTCCGAACCAATCTGACCTTCACAAGTTCCAATCTCTCTTCGCCAGTTTACGGTATCACCGCAACCGCTCCTGCCGCTCAATCTCCTCCCGAAAGACGTTCCTCCCACGACCAGCCGCGCCCCGTCCCGCGGTAGGCGACCAGCTCGCCCGATCCGTCAACTGAATCCCCACGTTCGTCTCGGACTTACTGTCACCATCCCCACCCCACGGCACCGAACCACCACCCACAACCCCCCCACCACCACCACCAAAACCAGAACCCCAACCACCACCAGAACCAACCCCTCCCGCACCAGAACCAGAACCACCACCACCACCCTCCCTCGCAATTGACCCCCGCCTCCCGACCATCGGCCCCAACACGGGTCTCAGCTGCCCATGCCTGCGCCACGACAGTTACACACAGCTAAATGCGCGAGCCGATTGCCACGGCG